CACCCCCTGCCCCGGTTCTTCACCCCCGCCTCCGGTTCTTCACCCCCTCCTCCGGTTCTTCACCCCCGCCTCCGGTTCTTCACCCCCGTCTCCGGTTCTTCACCCCCTGCCCCGGTTCTTCACCCCCGCCTCCGGTTCTTCACCCCCGCCTCCGGTTCTTCACCCCCGTCTCCGGTTCTTCACCCCCTGCCCCGGTTCTTCACCCCCGCCTCCGGTTCTTCACCCCCTCCTCCGGTTCTTCACCCCCTCCTCCGGTTCTTCATCCCCGTCTCTGGTTTTCACCCCCTGCCCCGGTTTCTTCACCCCCTCCTCCGGTTCTTCACCGCCGTCTCCGGTTCTTCACACCCTTTCCTTTGGTTCTTCACCCCTTCCTCCAGTTCTTCACCCCCTGCCCCGGTTCGTCACCCCCTCCTCCGGTTCTTCACTCCCTCCTCCGGTTCTTCACCCCCTCCTCCGGTTCTTCACCCCCTGCCCTGGTGCTCCCTTCGGTTCTTCACCCAGTGTCCAGCTGTGCACATCTGGCTCTCACTCAACACCTCAGTTAATTTAGGGTGGAGAACCCAACGTTACAGATTCGTGCGTCTCAATCCGTCAGGAACAAATTACCGTTTTACGTCGGACCCAACAGACCGCTGATGTACTTTCTGTGTGGTTTTGATTCATAAGAACTCAATTTTACAACTATTCTCGGGTTAATAACTTCCAGATTTGTTTGGATGACAATTCTTCTTTTTGATTTCCTTTTAATAAAAACAGTCAGCTCAGTTTCTTAAATCCCAGTGTGTTTTAAACGTTTTGCCAATCTCATCGTCTCCGTGACCCAACAATGGAAGAATCACCGTTTTGCTGTGACGTTAATAAATTCATTCACTCATAACTTATCCGTTTACCTGTTAATAATGCCAATAATTTTTTAATACCCAAAGCAAAGTTGTATTTCAATTCCTTCCCGTGATTTCAGAGTCTTCAACAAGCTCGAGAACCATAAACCAGTCAAAGACGAACCTTCGGTGTAATTATTATTTGTGTTATGAATTCTAATATTTTCTATGTGTTGCTCAAAAACTGTGGAGATTAGAAACTTTTCAGTTTTATTCCTGAGAATATAAATCATTTGCATCTCTCTGAAAACCAGAATCAATATATCTGTAACATTCAACAATATTGTAATCCTAATAAACCAATGTTTTTTAAGTTATGGTTATAGTTCTGATACATCTTGGATTAATGTAAACATGGATGGTACGTTGTGCAACCTCTTGCATAACTCTGAGTATTCATGGTATTCATGAAAAGAGACAAAAAACAGAAAAACATCAGCTCAAGAAAATGTTCTGCAGCAAAACAAGCGGATATTACTTGATGTAAAGCAATAAATCATCGTGAAAAACACCCCGGCAGCTCGTAGATCATGTTAGAACGTCTGAAACGGAGAGAAAACTTGACAAAAGCCAGGCTGCCTTCCAGAGGTTTCCACAAAGACCGCTCAGATATTTAGTGAGCGAACGTCCCAGGAAATGAAGTCATACCTAAAATGTACCACTTCAGTCGGTGCTGAACGTGGGTTCGGATGTTCTTTTGAGTCGGTTTCCGACTCGTTCTGCTCGAGCACACGTCCAGGAAGCCTGTCGTCCAACCCCAGTGAATCTGGAAGCAGCAGCTGGGTAATAATGCTTCGATGGTTGAGGTATTTGAATCCACAGCAGAGTTTCTCAAATGGAAACTATCTGAAGACCTTTTCCACATGCGAGAGATCCGTGACTCAGTTGCTGTTTTCCTCCTCTGTTTGCCCGAAAGGGTTTTTGGCCTCGTCTTCTCCTCCTCTGGCACAACTCGTCCCCTGCGTTCTCTGACAGGAATCATTTAACTACATAAACGAGTTTTACTGTAAAGATGAGACATAAAGAAACAAAAACAGCACGATGAACGTGAACCAGGTGGTGCAGGGAAAATAAAAGTTTATTTTTGGTTTATTAGGTATGAATAGACTGCAGGGACGGCTTGTCCTCATAAACCGTTTCTGGTTTAAGCATCGATTTAAGCTTAAATTGATTATCGGACTCGACTGGTACCACTGGTCAGGTTTCCATCGACTCACCAGGAAGGTCTGATTCATTTCAGTCTTTTCATGGTTGATTTGAACCGTTGGTTAAATGTCCCTCAGTCTGTTCTTCTTGGTAGAGTCCATTTAAACTGGTTGGTTTTCTGGTTTCAGACCTGGTCCACAAACCTTCCATGGGGTTGAGTTTGGGTCTTGGAGAAGGAGGGTCCAGAAGCTCAATGTCAGCCTGCTTTATCCAGTCAGAAACCAGTTCTGACGTGTGTTTAGATCATGGTTCTGTTGGACCCGACTGTGTCCAAGTTTCAGCTGCTTAGCCATCGGTTTGAGGTGAAGCTGAAGAGTTTGGAGGTAGTCGTCCTCATTTCATCCACTTTAGCGCCACAGCATGATGCTACCACCACCGTGTTTGGTGGACGGAAAGTCTCACCTTGACTCCAAATGTCCTTCGTGTCTCAATCTTTGTCTTGTCTGACTATTAAACTTTTCTCCTGGACATTTGTCTTGTTCATGTGGACAGCTGCAGGTTTCAGTCCAGCTTCAAGTCCATGATAATATAGAACTCTCTTCACTATGGACAGGGACACTGGTGGACAGGGACATCGGTGGACAGGAACACTTTTGGACATGGACACTGGTGGACAGTCACACTGATGAACAGAGACACTGATGGACAGAGACACTGATGGACAGAGACACTGATGGATAGGGACACTGGTGGACAGGGACACTGCTGTTCCAGCAGTTTCCAGTTCTTGGCAGGTCTGAGCCTCGGTGGTTCCTGAACATCTGAACCAGTTTCCTTCCATCTGAGGGGGACGGATGAGTGTCGGTCGGTCCATGGAGTGCTGTCAAACAGAAACTCCATGCTGCAGTCCATCATGATCACCAACAGGAAGTTCTCCTGTCAGAACCTTCAGCACCTCTCATTTACAGATTGACCTTCTGGACTTTGGAGACCTGGGCTCAACTTCGAATCAAACTCAAAGTCAAGTTTTGTTTCAGAACAGAGAAGACGTTTGAGGATTTCTGAACCATTTATTTCTCAAAATTGACCCAAACACTAAAAATGAAGGAGCTTTTTAATAAACTGGATGAAAAGTTGTGCGTATAAAAATAATCTCAAAATTAGTGACAAATCACCAGATTTTAAGGATTTAACTTGAGTTAAACATTTCATGGAAATGTTCGTCTGGGTCCACAGACTTTGAGTCTGAATCTGGACCGCGGTCCACCATTTGAGGACCTTTAAAGACTAGAAAAGCTGCACAGCTTGTAAATGATACATTAAATGAGAGAAAATGCGCAGGTCACAGGTTTGAACAGGATTTATTGACATCAACTAATCTGGTCCAGATTCTATTCCGGGTGAGATCTGGACCGCGTTTTATGTATTTTTTTGTTTGTTTTGCTCTCTGGAGGTGAAGGGAGGACTGGACGTGTTCCTAGTCCTTTAGGATCCAGTCAGATCCCTCCCCCTGTAGGTTCCGGACCAGAGGACCTGGAGGGGTGGGGGGTTCTGGTATAAAAGCAGCGCGCTCGGGTCTCCTCGGTCTGGTGGCGGTAGAACAGACCGCCTGGAGACAGCAGGAGAACAGGATCTCTCCACTCCATTAATCCCAGTTTTTAAATCCTCTTTATTTTATTTTCTTGTTTCGCTTTAATCCAGAGAATGTCTGGTGGCGCACTGAGCGGGTTCCTGCTGGCGCTGTGCGTCTTTGGCGCAGTCCATGGCGCACCGAAGAAGAGCAGGAGACAGAGCGGGCAGTACCAGCTGGACCCGGACTTTCATGACGCAGCTGCGCTCAATCCAGGTCAGAACCAGAGATTTGGACTCCTTAATCTCAAGAGCAGGATGGTTGTGTCTCGTGGACTTAGTTCTGTAGTTTTATTAAAACTCCCGAGAATTAATTAGGTTTAAACCAGTCCAAACTGATGCTAATCTGAAAGTTTTGGTCTTGATCTTGGATTAAATGTATTTTATCTAGGATCAGAAGTGTTTAGTCATGGATTAAATGTGTTCGTTCTTGGATTAAACGTGTTTAGTCTTGGATTAAAGGTGTTTGTTCTTGGATTAAAAATGTTTAATTTGGATTTAAGGTGTTTGTTCTTGCAATAAAGGTGTTTAATCTTGGAATAAATGTGTTTAATCTTGGATTAAAGGTGTTTAATCTTGGATTAAAGTTGTCGATTATAAGTGTTTAATCGTGGATTAAAGGTGTTTAATCATGAATTAAATATGTTTAGCAGTGGATTAAATGTGTTTAATCATGGATTAAAGGTGTTTTATTGTGGTTTAAAGGTGTTTGTTCTTGGAATAAAGGTGTTTAATTGTGGTTTATAAAAGTGTTTGGTGTTTGTTCGTGGATTAAATGTGTTTTTTCATGGATTAAAGTTGTTTGTTATTGGATTAAATGCGTTTTGTTTGTGGATTAAAGGTGTTTGTTGTGCTTGTCCTCAGTGAGTTGTGAGGAAAACGGTCTGACCTACAGGCAGAACCAGCAGTGGGAGAAACCGTACCTGGACAGTACTCTGGTTTGCACCTGCAGTGGCACAGCCGGCATCAACTGTAAAACTAAACCAGGAGGTGAGTCAGAGTCCAGCTGCAGGCACATCTGTCCAGCTGCTTCAAACCAAACTGCGACCCTGAACCAACCATGACACTTTTAGGTGAAACTTTTCTGTCTGTGGTCATTTCAGTTTAATTTGAGTCCTGTGGATGTCTGAGGACCCTCAGGTGTGTGTGTGTGTGTGTGTGGGGGGGGGGGGATCCAACTTTAGGATCCGGTTTCAGATTGTTTGTCTTCAAACAGACTAGAAAAGTAAAAATGGGAAGAAAACGGGATTACTTTACAGTCCTGGGAAATCTGGAATTAGGTTTTAAGGTTTTCTGAGGTTGGCAGCACGGTGGTGCAACTGGTAGAGCTGCTGCCTCTCAGCGAACAGGTCCCTGGTTCAAACCCCGGTCCAGGGGCCCTCTGGGTGGAGTTTGCATGTTCTCAACCCCCGTGACCCAAAATGGAATAAACGGGTAAAGATAATGGATTGATGGATGGTTTTCTGAGGTTTGAAATGTTTTCAACACAAGATGAACGAAGAAAACATTTTTCTCTTTCTATAAAACCAAGCCTCAGCTTTGTGCCACCAGGAGTCTGCCGCCGGCTGACCCACGTGGAGGCGGCATCCTGTCTTAGGGTTTGGTCCGGTTGAGCAACTAGGGCTGGACCACCAGGAGCTCTTTGGTGAGCCCACCCCCCTCCACCAAAAACCAGTGGAATGTCTTTACCTCAGACGGAGGAGTATTAAGTATCTGGGCGTTTTGGTCCAGAGTGGTGATAGGACAGATCGGGAGATGGATCAGTCGGCGCCTCGACCAGTAATGTGAGCGTTGCTTTGGTCAGTCGTGGTGAAGAAGTAGTTGAGTCGAAAGACAAAGCTCTGGACTTGCTGGCCCTTCTACACTCTCACCTGGGGTCAAACCCTTCCTTCGTAGGGTGTCCGGGCTCAGCGGTACAAAACAGAGTAAACAGCCGCTGCACCACTGGACCGACAGGAGTCAGCTGAGGAGCTTCATCTGATCTGGACGCCTCTCTTTGGAGGTTTTCAGTCATGTCAAATAGGGAAGAGACCCAGAACTCTTCTCTAGAGAGATTATAGACCTTCTCTGATCTGGGAACACCTTGAGGTCCCCTGGAGAGTCTCTGGGGGAGGTCTGGGTTTCTCTCCTGGACCTGTTGGCTCCACGACCCGGCTACAGATAAGCGTTAGAACATGAAGATTTATCCCAACCAGCAGAGCGCTTTCTAGATTTATTCCATTAAATATAAATATAAACGTACCGTGTAACAGTCTAAAATCCACCATGTTGGATTGATTGGTCGTATTTCATTCAAATCCATTTCACGAGATATTTTGCTAACAGGCTGAGAACAACGTGAATGAACAAGAGTCGGCGCCTGACAAATGATCTGAGGTGCATTTTTAAAATGTTACCAAACGGCAATGTCCTGTTCGTTTACATGAAGTGGGCGGGGCTTAAAACTTATCGGGACTAGTCGAGCCTCAACTTCCAAGTTCCTTTTGGATGTCTGGATTATTTATTGATTGATTGTGTTGTTTTCTGGTTGAAGTCCAGAGTTTTTAAAACGGCAAAGGGTGAAGAATCCTCTCAGGTCTTCTCTCAGCAGCAGGCACACGAAGTCTTGATCTTTTTGTGGGTTTTCCTGTTTTTGTCTCAGAGGAGACGTGTTACGATAAGGACAACAGACGGACGTACCGGGTCGGTGAAACCTACGAGAGACCAAAGGACGGGCTGATGTGGGACTGCACCTGCATCGGCGCCGGAAAGATCACCTGCACCATCGCCAGTGAGTTCCACGTTCAACCTGAGAAACTGGACTCTGCAATAATGTGGCCGAATGACTGCTGAAGTTTGAAGCTATAAGCTAAAGCTGAGTGGTTAGAGGCTAAATTTAACACCAAAGAGGCAAAAATGACATTAAAAATCCAAAATCAGCAGCTAAAAACTAAAAGTAACAAAACCACAGCTAAAATTAATAAAACAGGTGCTAAAGCCAGAGTTAGCTTAACAGAAGTAGCTAAAATGAAGAAAAATTTATGTGTAACATTAGCTAAACTGCTACCAAAAGCTGAAAGTAGCAGAATGGTAGCTGAAATAAAAAATTGTAAAACCGTAGCTAGATGCTAAAACTGGCAGAATGGCAGCTAAAAGCTCAATCAGAAATATAGCTAAAATCTATAAGTAAAAAAGAAAAAGATAGCTAGAAGTTAAAAGTAGCAAAACAGTAGTTAAAAGCAAAAAAAAAAAAAAAATTTAGCTTAAAATCTCAAAGTAACAAAATGGTAGATAATGGCTAAAAATAACACAATTGTAGTTAAAAGCTAGAAGTAGCGACATGGTAGCTCCAAGTTAAAGTAGCAGAAATATAGCTCAAAAAGGAGAACTGTAGCTAGAAACTAAAAGCAAAACCGTAGCTAATAGCACAACGTAGCCAAAATATAGCTAAAACCTATAAGTAATAGAATGCCACCTTAAAGCTAAAAGTAGCAGAACGATAGCCAAACGCTAGAAGTAGCAGAACCATAGCTAAAGCCTAAAAGCAGCTAAATGCTAAAAGCTAACAGTACAGGATTGGCAGCTGTAACCTATATGTTGCAGAACAGTTGCTGAAAGCTAAAAGTAGCATCAGAAAACGTTAGCAGAGCAAGTAGCTGAAGCAGATTTGAAACATATCTCCATTTATTTCTGTGGGGAGTTTGATTTTAAATAAAGTTATACAAGAAAGTATAAAAGTTACAAAAGCTAAAAGTCACAGCTCACCAATCCCAACTGAGCTGAACGCTTTGGCTGGCTGACGGTGGAAACAGCATAAGATTTGTTGAAATAGCTGCAAATAACGTACAGAAAGATAAAAATAATATGAATGCTGAGTGGGCGTGCTGTCAGTTTAAACCCTCTGCAGACGTTCTTGTCGTGTTTCTGTTCTGATGTTGCTGGAACATCACGTGTTGAACCTTGACCTGTGCTGTCCTGTGATTTACAGATCGTTGCCATGACAACGGGCGGTCCTATAAGATCGGCGACACGTGGCAGAAGCCTCACGAGAACGGGGACTCCATGCTGGAGTGCATCTGCCTGGGGAACAACAAGGGCGAGTGGACCTGCAAGCCTGTGGGTGAGTCGCCACTTTCACAGATTTCTCAGATATTTTGCTAACAGAGACACGAAGTTGACGCCAGTGGGTAACACCAACGGTCTCGTGCGACCTGTTCACACTCGAAGCTCGTGTTGGCGATGATTCTCGGCTACTACCACACCAAATGTTAGCTCAACAGCTGCCTGAGCGAATGCTATTTTTATGTTTGCTAGGGTCGGTTAGCTGTGGCGGCCATCTTGAATAGGGTTGATACAATAACGTATCCATCTGTAGACATGAACCCAATCCTTAACACTGAGTTTCTTTAAAATTCAACCAGTGGTTCATGAAATATTTTGCTAACAGACAGAAAAACATTATAGCAGTTACATGATTGCCCACCCTTCATGAGGCTATCATCAGTAAAGACTGTGTTCATCTTTAATGATCCCTCAGGTGTTCTAGTTTATATTTTCACCCTACAGTTTGATTACCTGCTCATACATGTTTGTTTAATGGCAGCCGAGCGTTGCTATGACAACTACGCCACAACATCTTTCGTCGTCGGGGACACCTGGGAGAGGCCGTACCAAGGCTGGATGATGCTCGACTGCACCTGCTTAGGAGGAGGAAACGGACGCATCAAATGTACCTCCAGAAGTGAGTACGAGCCGAAAACAGCTGTGGAGAGCCGAATGACTGTTGACAGCTACTGAAACTGAGCTAAAATTAGCAGAACAAAAGCTGAAAGTAGCAAGACGACAGCTAAGTGCTAAAGTTAACAAATGCTAAAATTAGCTAAACAAAAGGTAAAGCCAGCAAAACAGTGCCCAAATGCCAAGATTAGCTGCACAGTAGCTAAAAGCAACATTTAGCTAAACAGTAGCTTAAAATTTAAACATAGCTAAAATGTAAAGTTAGCAAAACAGTATTTTAAGGCTAAACCATCTAAACAGTAGCAAAACTCAAATGTGCAGAAGAGAAGCTAAAAGGTAAAATTAGCATGTAAATGTAGCTCAAAACTAAAACTACAAAACCCCCAAAATCTTAAAACCAGCAGAAAGATAAAGCCAAGAAATATAATAGCTAAAAGATAAAATTAGCCAAACTTCAACTAAAAGCTAAAGCCAACAGAACAGTAACAAAAAAAAATTACAATGGTTAAATAGCTAATTAATAGGTAAAACCAGAAAAGCTGTAGTTCAAAGCTAAAAATAGCAAAACAGTAGCTAAAAGTTCATTAAAAAAATAACTAAAAGGTAAAATGACCAAAACAATAATTTTGATGTTAAACCAATAGTAGTATAAAGTAAAGTTAGCAGAAGAGTAAATAAAAGCTTAAAGTAGCAGAACTGTAGCTACAAACTAAAACTAGCAAAACAGTAGCTAAAAGCTAAAATCAACAGATAAGTAGCTAAAAGCTAAAACTAGTTAAACAGTAGCTAAATGCTCTAACAGACAGATCATTAGCTAAAAGTCAAAACTACCCAAACAGCAAATGATGTAGCTAAAAAATATTGTGGCTGAAACAAACAAAAATAGTCTGAATCGTAGCTAAAAGCTAACCAAGTAGTAAGTTTGTTGATGTTTTGAAGAAGCTGAATTTTTAAGGATTTGAAACTCGATGCACTTCCAAAAGACAAAATTGTAAATAAAGTGAAACATTTCAAAAAGTATAAAATTAACAACAAAACAAAGTTGTAAAATTTTCAACGAGCTGAATGTTTTCATACCTGAACGTGAGAATCAGCTGAAAGCTCGCTGAAGCAGCTCGAGTTCTTCAAACGTAGAAAAGAAACAGGAGACGTGTTTTAACGCCAGGAGCAGCTGCTGACCGGTACTGTTCCCCCACCAGACCGCTGCAACGACCCGGTGACCCGGAGGTCCTACAGCATTGGAGAAACATGGACCAAGTCCGACTCCAGGGGGACCCCCATGCAGTGCGTGTGCCTGGGGAACGGCCGCGGAGAGTCCAACTGCCACATCGCGGGTCGAAGTGAGTTCTGACAGAACCCTTATCAGCTTCACTCCTGACGTCCTCGGACCCTGGTGGTCCTGACTCTTCCGATCTGGTTTCAGCTCAGTCCCTGCTGTACAAGGTGCCCACCGCTGAGGGAACCTGCCTCATCGATTCTGGAGCCTCCTTCTACGACGGGCAGCGCTGGATCAGAACCCAGGGCAGCAAGCAGATGCTGTGCACCTGTCTGGGCAACGGGGTCAACTGTCAGGAGTGGGGTGAGTGCCGGAAACTAGAAACAAACTGAAATTAATACATAAAATAACTCCATCCATCCCAACACGATCATTAATGGATTGTTTTAAACGCTGTAATGAAACCAGTTTTCAGGGTTGCCAGATAGAAAATACAGAGATATTGTACTTGAATATTTAGCCTATCTGACATGTTCTGCTGTTTGCAGATGACGTGGTCTTGTTGGTGTCATTTTAACAGGTCTCTCTTGTAAATGAGTCTTCGAGGCTCAATGAGAACTAACCTGTATAAATTAAGGTCTAATAATAATTTTAAAAAACTGTACCGTGATCTTCAGCTCTTACTGGAGAAGTTCACAGCTAGGGTGAGAATCAGAACCTCCAAATCTGAGACGGTGGTCCTCAGTCAGAAAAGGGAGGGTTGTCCTCTCTGGGTTGGGAGTGAAGTTCTGCCTCCAGTGGAGGAGGTCAAGTATCTCTGGTTTTGTTCTCCGTGAGGGAAGAATGGAGCGTGAGATCTACAGACAGATCGGTGCAGCTTCTGCAGTATTGTGGACTCTGTGCCGGTCCGTTGTGGTGAAGAGGGAGCTGAGCTGCGAGGAGAAGCTCTATGTTTACGTTTATGTTCCTACCCTCACCTTGGTCCTGAGCTCTGGGTATAACCAGATCCTGGATCCAGAAGGTCTGAATGAGTTCTGTCTGCAGAGTAGCTGGACTCTCCTCAGAGATCAGGTGAGAAGTTCAGTTCTCCAGAAGAGACTCGGAGTAGAACTCCTGCTCCTCCACATCCAGAGGAGACAGCTGAGGAGGTTCAGACATCTAGTAAGGATGAACCCTGGACGCCTCCATAGGGAGGTGTTCTGGACACGTCTAATTGGGAGGAAGACCCGGGACACCCTGGAGAGACTAGGTCTGTCAGGTGGTCTGGGTATCATTGGGAACTTATTATTAATTTTATAAACATTTAATCTTTTGTGTAAATATGATCATTATTGGCTATCTGGCAACGCCTCTAGTTTTATTTGAAGGAATGCAGTTTCCTCTACCATTTTCCAAGGAGGGCGCCCCTCCATGTCCAAGAACTGAGTGCCCTGCTTATGAAAATCCCCCTGGTTCGGATATTTGGCTAACAGGTGAAGATGTTAAAGGTGTCCTCTCCTGTTTGTGCAGAGGCCCAGAGCCACGTGTACGGTGGTAACTCCAACGGTCAGCCGTGCGTCTTCCCGTTTGTCTTCATGGGGAAGACGTACTACTCCTGCACGTCGGACGGCCGCAGCGATGGACAGCTTTGGTGCTCCACGACCTCCGACTACGAGAGGGACCAGCAGTACTCCTTCTGCACCGAAAAATCTGGTGAGCCTCCGGAACGGGTCGTCAGATTTTGCCACGTGTCACAGAACGGGAGCTGAAGCTAACATAATAATAATATGAATCATAATCATAATCAGAAAAGCTGAAGCTAACATAATAATAATATGTATAATAATCATAATCATAATCAGAAAAGCTGAAGCTAACCGCCTCCGTTCTGTTAAAATCGCAGCCACCGTGGTGACCCGAGGTGGAAACTCCAACGGCGCCTTCTGCAACTTCCCCTTCCTCTACAGCGGTCAGAACTACACCGAGTGCACCGCCGACGGGCGCCGCGACAACATGAGGTGGTGCGGTACCACCTACAACTACGACGCAGACCAACGCTACGGGTTCTGTCCAATGGCTGGTGAGTGTGCTTTGCTTGATTGATGCTCAAGGTCAAAGGTCACCCTTTAATTTGACTTGATTTAACACAACCTGTTAATTACCACAAACTAAAGCATTAAAGGGACAGTTTGGATCTTTTGAAGTTGGATTCTGTGGTTATGAACAAACAATATCTTACCTGCTGCAGTTTGAATCCTCAGTTTGGAGGACTAAAGTTGTTAAAGATGGCAGGAATCCTCTTGGCTCTGTGCAAGCTAATCTAATTAGGATTAAACTTTATTTCTTCAATCTGAGGTCAGTCAGACAGCTATCTACAACAGGTAAGATACTATTGATCAGAACCCGTCTTCCAAAGATCTGAACCACCTTAAAGTCAGCGCAGAACAAACCCTCTGAAAAACGACACGTTTATCTCATCTTGTTCTCACAGATTACGATAATCTGGTTCACTTTAATCATGGATTAAATGAGCTGAGAGCGATACGGGAGAACAACCCCATCAATGTGTCCACGAACTGGACTCTGGTCCCAACTGAAGGGGGTTCTCTGTGTGAACAGGTCCAGAGTATCTGAAGAAAACAGCGCTGAGTGACAGCTGAAATGAACTTAAGAAGCTAAAACTGAGCTCCTACAGCTAAAATGATAGCAAAACAAAAGCTAAAATGAGCAAATGTTACAATTAGTTACAAGATAAAAGCCAAAATAAACTACAAGATAAGCTAAAGCCAGAACAATAATTAAAGGCCAACATAATCAGAATACTAGCTAAAAGCTAAAATTAGGAAAACTGTAGCTAAAACAAAAGAACCTGCAAAAAAAAAAAAATTTGCTGAAAGGTAAAATCAGCGGAACTGGACCAAAAGCTAAATCAGCTAAACAATAGCTAAATGAGAATAGAAAAGTAGCTGAAAAATAAAACATGCAAGACAGTAAAAGCTAAAACTAGCTAACATCTAAAAACTAAAACTGTCAAAATAGAATTTTAAAGCTAGAACAAGCTAAACACTAATATTAGAAAAACAACTGAGCTAAAAGTAGCTGAAGTGTAGCTAAAAACTAAAAGTAGCAAAAGGGTAGCTCAATGATAAAAGTAGCAGAACAGTAACTAGCTGATTAAATATAGCCGGTTTGTAAGGGTTCTCAAATGGTGGCCCCGGTACGGAACAGTTTGAGGAAACTAAAGCTCACACAGAACCCCTCTTGTTTTTTCTCACTTGTTCGTTCTTCCATTATTTAGCCCACGAAGAGGTCTGCACCACCAGCGATGGAGTGATGTACCGTGTCGGGGACAAGTGGAACAAACGCCACGCCATGGGTCACATGCTGGAGTGCACGTGTGAAGGGAACGGCCGTGGGGAGTGGAACTGTGTTCCTCACGCAGCTCAGCGAGGTCAGAGAACCAACTTTATGGAAACCTAGAAAAATAAAATAAAAGCATTACACATTAAAACACGAACGCCTCCATTGATCCAGATCGCTGCGTTGTTGACGGCTTGTACTACGAAGTCAACCAGGAGTTCTCCAAGCGCCACACCGAGGGACACATGATGAACTGTACCTGCTTTGGAGAGGGCCGCGGACGCTGGAAATGTGACCCGATCGGTGCGTTTGTAGCTTTTTTTTTTTTTTTTCCTCAGCGGAGAAACCTTAAAGTCCAGCAGCTCAGCTTTGTTTCCTGAAACAGATCAGTGCCAGGAGCCTCAGAACAAGGCCTTCTACCAGATCGGAGAGCAGTGGGACAAAGTTTTCAACGGGATCCACTACCGATGCTACTGCTATGGCAACGGGAACGGGGAAATGAGATGTGAACCCACGCAGACTTTCCCAGGTAAAGGAAGACTGTGTTTTATTTGGTTGTGAAATATTGGGTGATTTGTCAGAATTAAAGTTTTTGTGATAAATTTATGGGCAGCAGTCGTTGGGTACGAGGCGAGGCACTCCTGGGTCACTGATTCATTACATGGACACGTAAAGGCAACACCAGGGGTCTATTTATGGGAACCAAACATGCATGTTTTGGTATCTGGGGAGAACATGCAAACCCTACCTAGAAAGGCCAGGAGGCGTATCTTTGACCTTCTCGCTGTGAGGTGACGCTGCTCATGAAAGTATCTCAGTGGACATCGGGCCGTGTTGACTCATGAACGAGCTCTTAAACGTTTGCGTTATTCCATGTTGATTGTGAAAAAGTTTACTCGGTCTGCTGTGCTTGTTGAATCTGCTTTAGTTTCCATGCCCAGCCACTAGCTGGCGCTGTGGTTTTTGTATTTAATTGACACCTGGATGCTCGCAGGTACGTCAGTCCCGAGAGTGAAATGGTTACATCCAAAATGGAGAAGGCACGAACGTTTGTTTGGACTGAAGATGAGGTTGAGTTGTTCCTTTACAGTAACGAAGGGTGATCAGCACAAACAGCACTCTGCTATCTATTCTGAAAACGACGGACTCAGATCATTGTGCAAACGGGGTCTTAGTGAACGACTCAGACTTGCAAGAAAATAGTTGAATTTTCCTTTGCAGTCTCACTTTGTGTTTGCGACAAGAAAACTACTGCAAACCTGAAAATCACGGCTTATTCTTGTGTGCACGGCTTGCAGAACTGCATTTGTGGCCGTGCACATTATTTTGTCCACCTCTTCACACGCTTCAGCAGCCCTGCCACATTTGTGATTTAATCTACCGGAGTACACTTTAGAAACACGACAGGCAGATCTGGACTAGTAGATTTTATAATTATTTATCATCTGCGTCATTTCTAGGCCTGGACGTCCAGCGCTGCAGCTCCGACGCAGGTGTCAAAAATACGTCTATAGAGTTTACAGAAACTAAACTGAGATGGGTTTGAGACTAGAGATGCACGATATTGGATTTTTGGCCGATATGTTAAAACTTATTTGGCCGCTACAGATATTTTTTATATACGTTCCTTTGTCAGAACATAGCCCTCTTATTTAGGCTTATTTGCTACAAAATTTGTGTAAGAGCTGGTGACATATATTCAGTAACAGCCATATGATATGCCTAGCCTTATATTAAATGTAAAGTGTTAAATGTTATTTATTAGCAGGAGTCACCTGTGATGCTGTCTCACTTGTGGAGCTTGTTCCAGGTTCCTAGCTGCAGTGTGGGATCCTCTGCACTCCTGTGCATGAAGGACAGACTTTTTAAGTTCAAAGTTTTTGTCTATCCATTGTGCCGTAAGACTAATCATGCTAACGGGCTAACACTTGACGTCCAAATGTCTGTGGTAAAACTCACCCAAGTGCTATCAGCTATTAGCTTCTCAATGACGTCGGAGATGACGGCTTGTAACTCGAGTAAGGTTATGTCAGAAAAATATCTCAACTAGGGACGAAGTGGCGAGGCTCAACGTAGTCCAGAAATCTTTGGAATCCGACATCCTCAGTGAAAAAAAAACTTTCACACCGCCGACATTTTGACTTCTTCCTCTCCGCCATGATCAGATCAGGTAAGCGCATGTGACGTCATCATGTTGCGCTGGCGCTGCAAGCATCCTTGTCACTGGGTTGTCAGACAAAAACAGCGTCTTTTATATCGGAGAGTTATTTTGATGGAATGGCCGATATTTAACTTTAATGCTAATATCGGCCGATACCATGCCGATAATCTCGTGCGTCCCTATTTTGAAACGTCCACAACAGCTGTGATCATTTTAAAGAAAGTTTCTAACACTTTTTTAAAACATGTTTAAAACTCAAGCCACCAGACGGCGAGCCTCTGCAACTCACCCCAGAAAACTGAACAGCCCCGCAGCGTTTTGAGACGTTTTTTTTTTCTCCATTCAGTCAACCTTTATTTAGACAGGTTAATTTTGGGACTTCCTGGTGAACGTTGTTTGTTAGCTAGACACCAGCTCGACCAACTCCTCCACCCTGCGACTGTGGTGCATATAAAAGTTGGTGGGCGTACAATGCGGTGTGCGCCGTACTCTTGTTTGTTGTTTTCAATTGTTTGAGAAGTCACTGCGCTTTGTCCTACATGTCCCTGAATCCTACAAACAGTTCCTTTTAAGCTAATCTGTTGTTCTGGGTTGAGTAAATTAGTTGAAATGTAAACAAGTAAACACAAACTGAAAGCTTTAAACTGCTGTGCTGACTGTTTGGAAGTCGTTCAGACCATTATAAACTATATTTCAATATAGTATATATCTCAATTCTAGAATTGCGCCGCTCAAGGTGGCTGCATGTTGGAGCAGCTCTGTTACTTTCATTCTGAGATTTTGCTTTTGGAAACTTTAATTCCTCTTTTTCTGGAGGTAAATCACATTTTTTTGGATGATTGTTTCCTCTGGTATCGGATGCTGTGCACCTGGAAGGATGTTTACTGAAACTTTTTTAGTTTTGGAGATTTGTTATGATGCGTAACCATGGCAACAGGGCAGTTTTCTACAACCAACTGCAGCTGATTAACATCTCAAAAGCACAAATAACATCTCAACTACAGCCACAAATCTCAAATGAGTTGAAAAGGAGACTCTGTGGATGCATTCTCAGCAACCTGCCAGCTGTGCTCGAGTGCCTGACCACTGAGATCCTGGAACTAGCAGGAAACACGGCTCATGACAGCAGAAGAACAGGATCGTCCCTCGGCACCTACAGTTGGCTGTCCGCAGCGAGGAGGAGCTCAGCAGACTGCTGGGAGGAGTGGCCATCGCTTTGGGAGGAGTTCTGCCCGGCTTTCGGGCGGTCCTACAGCCCGGGGGAACTGAGAGGCCAGCCGAGACTGGGTGGACGGATCGAACGGCATCTGCAGCCATTTTCTTAGGATCCACTGTGGGATGGACCTTTACAAGAGATCCTTCCTGTCTACATCCATCAGTATCTATAACATCTCTTAATGAAATGAGGATAACGAGTTACAACAACAACAAGTAATTTCCCTTTGGGATTAATAAAGTATTTTTGAATTGAATTGAATTGAATATTTACTGTAATTTGATGAACTCATTCAACTGTTTTTATGTAACTGACCTCTCCACTCTCAGACCCCACAAACTTCACGTCGAGGGGTCTGAACTTTGAATTCTTTAAAGTGATGAGCTTCTCTTTGGTTTCTAGTTTGGGAGTTTTTTTTCCTCCCCTCTCTGTTAAATGCAGCCGACTTTTAATTTATTCATTTATTTTTAGGCTCAGCTATCCGTCAAACGTGAGTGTCGCTGAGCGTACGGGACTTTCAGTTTGTTGGCTTTTGTGGGGAAAAGGATAAAGTGATGAACAAAACGATTGTGGGAAACGGACTCCGGTCACTTCCTGCCTCTGTTGCCTAATTTGTCTCTTTGGACCGAGTCGTAGATCAAACGATGCCTTGACGTGTTGCAGCGGTGACGTTTATCTCCTGATCAGTCCAAACAGAGGACAGAGTGTGCTGAGTGGACTGAGAGGCAACTGAGGCCAGTTAAATGTGATGAATCTAACACCGAGGTGTGTTTTTAGACTGTAAGATGTTGAGCTGCTTCTGCACCATCTGATGGTTTGATTTGGCCCCAAAATGTTGGCCTTGGGTTGTTAGATCCATCAGAAAGTTGCCAGCTCTCACCCACTTGCCCAGTATTTACCACCGTCTTGTCTCTTTGCAAACACAATGTTTGGTTTTATGATGTTCCTGATGCTTGAACTCCTCAGGCGGCTCCAGACCGGTCCAGGTGATCATCACCGAGGCAGGGAAACAGCCCGACTCCCACCCCATCCAGTGGAACCCTCCGTCGTCCACCCACGTTTCGCAGTACATCCTCAAATGGAGACTCGTGAGTCACACTCTTGGTCCTCAGGCCTTCATGAATGAACTCTTTGAGTGAATTTCTTTTTCCTAAAACTTGACTTTAAACGGTGGAAGCTTTGAACGACGCCATAAGTTTTTACTGATTTTGTTCAGTTTGAGCAAACAGTGATTAGGAGGTACACGAACACAAACCCACTGCTGCTCTAGCTGAGTTTAAGGTAAATATTTGCTTGTTTGAAGTCGTTTTCTGCTCTTCGATCGTCGCCTTCACTTTTTTCATTCATTCAACCTGTATTTATACAGGTTAGTCTTATTGAGCCTTTGAAGCCTTTAAAAAAGTCAACACTTCAATAAAAGAGCTAAAGAAAGTTCCGTAAACCTTCCATGAATGTAAGAAAATGTAAACAGGTAGAGAAAAATCACCTTTTGAATGATATTAAGATGAACTCAGATGCTGACTGTTGTACCGTCTTAGTGCTCCTGGATCTTTCTGCTTCGCTTGATACAGTTGATCATGATATTCTCCTGAGCCGACTAAATTATTGGTTAGGTGTTAGAGACCTTGCTCTGAGGTGGTTCAAATCTTATCTTCATGACAGAACTTTTTCTGTAATTTCTGGCAATAATTCCTCCAGTTCATCTTCTCTCACCTGTGGTGTTCCCCAAGGTTCTATTCTTGGGCCACTATTATTTTCCACTTACTTGCTACCACTTGGTCGGGTTATTCATAAATTCAACGTCTCTTTTCATTTTATGCAGACGATTCCCAGATTTATTTTGCTATTAACCCATCAGACCTCTCTACTCAGTAAACTTATCCTCTGTCTTACAGATATCAAAACCTTGATGTCTGATAATTATCTTTCACTCAACAGTGATAAAACTGAGGTGATGGTTTGGACCCAAGGCCAAAAGGAATTTAGTAGTTCAATCACTTTCTCAAATTAGGATATTGCCAAAATCAGAGCATTTATCTGTCTAACCAATGCAGAAACTCTTATTCATGCCTTTTTGTCTCCTGCTATCTTGATTATTGTAATTCTTTATTGTCTGGTCTGCCCCAAAGTTCTCTTTATCGTCTTCAACTAGTACAAAACACTGCAGCTAGAGTTCTCACAAGATCCCATAAATATCAGCACATCACTCCTGTTCTGTCCTCATTGCATTGGCTCCCTGTGGTTTTTAGAATTGATTTTATTGTTTGTTTTTAAATCCCTGAATGGTCTTGCACCATCATATCTATCTGAGCTTCTTGCCCCCTACATCCCTTCTTGCAATCTCAGATCCTTAAATCTGTTCTTTCCACTCCCAGAGCTCGACTGGTGACAGAAGGGCTTTTATGGTCAGGGCTCCTAATTTGTGGAATGCTCTTCTTCTAAATATTAAGGCAGGGCTCTTCATTGTCTTCTTTTAAATCATAAGTTAAAACTTACTTGTATAATAAAGCTTTTAATATCTGAATTTCTTCACATTTTTATTTTCATTTTGTCTTGTATTGTTGTGTATTTTAATAGATTTGTTATACTTTTTGTGTTTCTGGTGTCATTTTTTGATATTGTTTTAACTGATTAATGTGAAGCACTTTTGTAACATTTAAAAAAAGTGCTATATAAGTAAAGTATTATTATTATTATTATTGTTATTATTTTATTTAAAATGTACCAACCAGTCTGGGTCCAGTTAAGACTTTTTTTGGGTCTGGAACTGGACCGCAGTCTGCCTTTTTGAAGAAAAGCTGTGCCACTTTAATTTTTTCACCACAAATATTACAAAACATCCACAGATAAAATGAAAACAAAAATGTTTAATTGGAATTTACCAAACAATCTGGATCCAGACGAGGATTAATTTGGTTCCTCCTAATATTTATATTTTTCTTTTCTCAGAATTTGTACTTGCGTTTAAGAAAAACGACCTCATTAAATAGTTTATTTACTAACGGTCACGGAGCGTTTCGTTACTAAACGATCCAGCCGAGTCACCGTTTGCAGATTTGCTTCAATTCAAACAAACTTGTGAGAATTCTGCTCTTCCTTTTTCTGTTTTGTAGAAAAACAGCCGCGCTCCTTGGAGGGAGGTCACCATGCCCGGCCACCTCAACTCCTACACCATCAGTGGACTGCGCCCCGGGGTCACCTACGAGGGTCAGCTCATCAGCATTCTGGGCTTCGGACGCCGCGAGGTCACGCGCTTCGACTTCACCACCGCCCACGGCACCTGTAAGGAGGTTACTCTTCTTTTAAAGCCACAGATTTTGAGAATCAATCATTAAAAACACGACGAATGCTTTTTTGTTTTAAAGTGGAGACGTGGGAAGGCGAGACAACTGCACCTCCACCACTCGTGGACATGTTCGAGTCGGTGACAGAAATCACCTCAAACAGCTTCGTCGTGTCGTGGAATTCAGCTTCTTCGACCATCACCGGTTTCAGACTGGAGTACGAGCTCATTGAGGACGGGGCGAAGCAGAATGTCCTGGGTGAGAGTCCTAAACCATGAGAGTCCTAAACCATGAGAGTCCTAAACCATGAGAGTCCTAAACCATGCTTTTACTCAGGCTTAGACGTATCTGATCAAAGGCTCCCTTTGGGTTAGGGGTGATGGAAGTCTTGTTTATGATTTTTGGTAAGACAGACCAATGGATCAGGGGCCTCGTTCTCAGTAATGAAAGAACGTGACGACTTCCATTTCAGTGTGCAGCTGTATTTAGGCATAGATAAGGTCCTTGTCAAAAATTGGGTTGCCACATCAAAATCCAAGATGGCTACCACCATATATGTATTTATGTGTGCGTAGACCGGCCACCCTGATCATTTGAGAAAACTTTGCTTTCTAGTTTTTGTATTGCTTAAAAGTATAGTTTCCTTAAATGTGGGGTGGCCAAAGATTAATCTATGGGGGCCAAGGCCACCATTGGCCACCCTCTGGCTCCATCATTGTGCCTGTGATGGTTAAAGTGGCTCCCTCCACTCGCCCCAAAAAATAAATAAAAACTCCCTCTGTTCTTCTCCACAGTGTAACTGCTACCCACTTGAATATCTTGCACCAAAAACATTTAGGTTTGTTTCAATCTCTGTACATTTCCAGTCCAGAAAAACACTCGTCTCCAGAACTACAAACGCTCACTACTCAAATCCCTCGGCGACGGAGGACATCGGTGGAGCTCTTGTTCACTGTGAAAACACTACAGAACTTTTGTTGTTTGGTGTTTCTGCAGATGTTCCTCGCACCACGACCTCCGTCACCATCAGTGATCTCCTGCCCGGACGCAGATATAACGTCAGCGTGTACGAGCTGCCCGAGGAGGGACAACCAAACCTGATCCTGACCACCTCCCAGACCACAGGTGGAAAAACACTCCTTTAGTCACATTAAATCCTAAAGCAAACTTTTCCTCATCATTACTTCCTTCTTCCAGCTCCTGATTCACCTACTCTGCATGCTGTGGATGACATCCAGGAGACCTCCATCCGAATCAGCTGGACCAAACCTCAGGCTCCAATTACTGGTAACAACTGACTTCCTGTATTTGTGCATTGTTTTTAGTTTTAGATGTTTCCAAACCAACTGTTTGTGGCTGCAGGTTACCGCGTGGTTTACGTGCCGTCAGAAGAAGGCAGCAGCACCGAGCTCATCCTGCCCGACTCCGAGACTTCAGTGACCCTGGTGGACCTTCACCCCGGTCTCCTCTACAACGTCAGCATCTACGCTGTGGAGGAGAACCTGGAGAGCGAGCCCATCTCTGTGCAGGTCAACACGGCCGGCTCTCCAAAACAAGGTGTGTGGTTTTAAACGAACAGTGAAGTTTCACGTTCTCCTTCTTGATGTTTGTAAAAAAAAATTAACCCCAGACCCGGAGCGAAGAGGGGACCTGGAAATGCCCTCTGTTGGTCCGGTTCATCAGCGTACTGCTTGTTAACAATCCGTCATATTTATTTTCTTCCTGCAGTGACTCCAGCAAAATAACAACAAAAAAGTTTCATTAGGGCAAAAATAACAAAAACGTCAAATTTATTATCGCACATTAAAATAGGCTTTACTTGTACCAACAACAAATGCTGTGTATAAACCCTAACGCTAAAATATATGCTTTAATTAAAGAGAACCTTTATTTTACTTTAGAAACTATCCTAACGTTGGGCTTGACAGAAGTTCTGTGAACGATTTTGATTGATTGACTGGATTGATTGACCTCTAAGACAGAGGTCATGGTTATCACTGGAACCAAGTGGACCCTCCAGGTTGTGGGGGGCGGGGGGTCTTTGCCTCTGGTGGAAGAGTTCGGGTATCTGGGTGTCCTGTTCCTGAGTGATAGTGGGATGAAGCGGGGGCTAGATCAACTGGGACCTCATCCTCAGTAACGAGGGTGTTGCTTCAATCAACCATGGTGAAGAAAGAGTTGAGTCTAAATTCAAAGCTCTGGATTCACTGGTCCATCTACGTTCCAAGCCTCACCTGTGGTCATGTGGTTTGGATCAGGACTGAAAGAACCAGATTCTGGATCCAAGCGGCTGAAATGAGCTCCTTTCTTAGTTGCTGGGCTCAGCCTTAGAGACCGGGCGAGGAGATCGTTTATTTGTTATATGCAGGTTAACACCAAGTCAATGAAATGTTCAGAATGAGAAGAACTGTTTCAAGTCTCCATCCATCCATTATCTTGACTTGCTTCTTCCTTTTTGGGTCACGGGGGTCTCTAGTGCCCATATTCAGCAGTCACTGTGTGAGGGGCGGGGGACATCCTGGACAGGTCTCCAGTCCATCACAGGGACACATAGAGACAAACGAGACGAACAACCATTCATTCTCTCTCACACACCTAGAGACAATTAAGAGTTACCAATCAGACTAACATGCATGTTTTTGGTCTGTGGGAGGAAACGAGAGTACCTGGAGAAAATCCACGCATGCACTGAGAGAACATGCAAACTCCACACAGAAAGGCCTCTGGCTGGGATTCGAGCCAGCAACTTTCTCGTTGGGAGGCAGCAGCTCTACCCACTGAGCCACCGTGCTGCCTGCAAGGAAACGCACAAGCTTTAAAAAAAAGAAAAAAAAACAATTTCCAACCAGTTTGGGTCCAAATAAGGCTTCATTTGAGTCAGCCATTAAAGGACCCTTTCAGTAAAGGCTAGACAAGTGTAGGTCAAAGGTCAAACTGTAAAAAAAAAGTGTTCATTTAAAAAAAGGGAAATATTCTGGGTCCAAATTTGGACTGTTGTCCACTGTTTAAAGACCTCCCTACACAAGATCTGAGGTTAATCCACAAAAAGACCAAAAGTTTGACTCTTAGTGATTACATTTTTACCTTTCCACAGAGGAGGTCCCGTCCCCAACAGACCTGCAGTTCTATGAAGTCTCAGATGTCAAGATCACCATCACGTGGACCGGCCCACCCACCGAGGTCACCGGTTACAGGGTGGTCTTCACCCCAATGGGTCAGGATGGCACCGAGCTCCGTCCTCTGCAGGTTCCTGTCTCGCACAATGCGTACGCCGAACTCGCCCACCTGCAGCCCGGCATGCTCTACCGCTTCTACATCTACGCCTTGAGAGGCGACGTGGAGAGCCGGCCGCTGGTCGGGGAGAAGTCTACCAGTGAGTGGCGTCATTCACGACACAACAAAACATCCTGAGATGTTCTTCTTACGTGTGTCGGGTCATTTTATCCCCTACAGAGCCCGATGCTCCTACAGACGTGCGTTTCTCCGACATTGGACCCGACAGTGCGTTGGTCCTCTGGGAGTCTCCTCGGGCCGTCGTTACTGGTTTTCGCCTTTTCCTGAGCATCGAGGGCTCCAGCCCCATGGAGAAGAGGATCCCTGGGGCAACCACCCGGTACCCCTTGAAGAACTTGCACCCCGACACTCGGTACACTGCCACCCTGCACTCGGAGCAGGACAACGTGCTGAGCGAGGGCTTCACCACGTATTTCACCACCGGTCAGCACGAACACAGAGAGAACTCCTCCAACATGTTTTTAATGACCAGTAACGTTTATCCTCCATATTTTCAGCTCCCCAGATAGGAAATGCCCCGCCTTTCAGCACTGAGGTCACTGACACCTCCATCATTGTCACCTGGATACCTGTCCGCAGGTTCAGCTACAAGGTAGATAACCAGATTCAAACAGTCTGTGGATATGATGTGCAATATGCAAAATAAACTTGCATTTATTGTTCCCTGTCAAGGAGCAGAGTGGGATTTGGAAATATCCTCAGATAGTCTGTCTATCTGTGCATGTTGTGAGCGTGATCATTTGAAAAATAAGTGAGATACAAACATCCTTTTGGGTGTGTGGCAACATCTAGGCGTAAGAAAGTTGCTGCTTGTTTATGCTTTAGTAATGAACTGCTAATATCAATTTCTTACTCTGATGTTTGGGGCAGTACTTGTCTCAGCAGCTAAACACATTTCCCCAAGCTGTATGTAGATTAAAGTTTGCGTCTTCAAGTTTCACGTCTACTTTTTTCCAGCTTTCTGTGCTCCCGAGTGAAGAGGGCGAGTCTCCCAGAGAGGAGACCTCCGACTCTGGACAGATCCACATCACTGGTCTGATTCCTGGAACTCAGTACACCTACAGCGTTCAGCCAATTTTCAACAACCGCAACCGTGGAAACCCCATCACTCGCAACGTTGTCACCTGTACGTAAATATCAAAGTTCATGCTCAGTCGTTCAGGTACAAAATCCAGTAATGGTCAGTCAGGTCATCTGGATGTAAATACATCATTCAATCTGAAAAAACAACTGCCAGTGCTCAACATTAGTTCGTATAAAACAGTTTGTTGTTGGTAATCAGGATGATGGACTGTTTAAGCCTTTCCCACTAGGTTTGTTTATGACCTTATGGCTACATGAAATTGAACGAGTTATTATCTTTTTATTTTTTGTGCAGCTTTGTCTCCTCCTACCGACCTCAGAGTGGTGTCCAGCCCGGACACAGGAGACCTAACCGTCTACTGGGTGGCCTCCAAAACACAAGGTAAATGTTGACTGTGCCCCCCACGCACAGCTGCTCAGTCGGCTCACACCAAGTCTAGACTTTGGCCTTTGAACGATATTTTATTTTCCTAGAGCAAATATACTTTCCTAGTATTTGGCACTCTCATTCCTCATCTCATGATTTAATCTCTTTTTTTTTTAAATCTTATCAATTTTTTTTATCTTGCTTCTCCTGCAGCAGCTTAAAAAAATACAACAAAACTTGATAAAAATGGTGTGCTATGATTTTGGTAGTGGTACGTTGTACGACGCAGACAAAATTCACAGAAAACTGCAAAAATTGTCCCCATTCATTTAACTGAACCAAATGACAAAACTTCAACAGAGTTCACACCTGAACCATCACTCAGAGTTTAAACAGGTCACAGAAAATGAACTAACTTGGCTGAACTGGCACTTTGAGATGCTTTTCTACACAACCAGGTTTGATGATTTTACCACAGGAAGTTCATCTTAGAGTTATGATGTCACACTCGAAATGTAATTGTCTAAAACTGATGGGAGACTGCGACGAAGTGAAGAGGCTTCCTTAGACAGATCACTTTTACTGAGAGTTTGTGTTCAGTGCCCTGAGATGACTTCTGTTGTGACTTGGCGCCAGGGCTTAATTTGTAAACTGATCGATGCCTGAACACAAACAATAGGTGGGCCAGCTGAGACGGGGGTCCTGGGGGTCACATGCTCACAAGAGAAGAACCTGACAAGTTGTTTAATGACATTAAATACATTTTATTAGCAAATCGAGTCCTAAAATTTATTCAACATTACTTATGTATTTACAAAAAAAACATCAAAATTGTGCTTTTGACAAACTCAACGATAAAACAAAAAATTTTATCAACGCGAAAGAGGAATCGAGGAGGCAGGTATCACTGCTTGCTTTGAGTTTATACTTTTTATCGTACGTGTGCTGTGGGTGACATGCGTCCAGTGTTATAAAAACAGCAGTGGAGGTGTCGGAGTTATTTATTTATCGTCTCAGCAGCAGAGGGGAGCAACGAAGGCAGTCATTTTTGTTCATAACATTATTATTAGTAAGCCTGAGAGTTGCCGGATCCGAGCAAACAGTTGCCGGAACGCACCCTGGCAAAACAAGAGAGTTCCCGGATTTTGTTCCGGCAGGATCAGGTTTATTTAAGCACCGCTTGGTGCTATATAAATAAACTGAAGTGAACGTTTCAAATAGTTTGCAAACACTTCTTGTTCCCACAACCTTTGTAGTATACATACAATTTATATATCAAAGCATAGGCAATTTTGTCTTTCACTCTGTGTGTCTCTCAGTGCTTTAGGATTTATGGTTTTCTCCCAAATCATCTCGGAGTGCAAAGAGTGCACACCGAGCTTCCACAGACTTGTTATATTTTAGTTTAAAGTATCAGGTAACGCTTGTTCTTAACATGTCATATTGTATTTTAAAAACTGTAAGAACAAAATTCACATGTCCGATCAATCAGTCTTCTGTCGCTCACGGTTCAAAAATTTACAAATTAGAGAATAATTTTGCACAACTGTTTGTTTGAGGCTTACTTTTCAGTACGTTTCTGTCTGTCTTGTGGTTGCTGTTGGGGAGTAAAGCCCCCAGTATACTCCCGCATATGTCAGTCCGTGCTTACCGGATTAGAGTCGAAGCGGACACATGCAGGGCATGTCCACGCAAAGCTCGATTTTTACGTACGCGTACTCGGTGTCGCACAATAAACTGCCCGGCGACGGACTGTTTTGTATGCGAACCAATGTATTAAATTCCCCTTCTTCATCCCTGATCTGGCCTTTTCGTGTTTTTTTTGCCAAAAGGAAGGTGATCTCTTCCTCCTCCGTTGATGTCATGACTGAAATGGTGATAAATGAAGGAATTTGTCACGAGCAAATTAAAATCAGGTCCAGTGGCTGCAGGAGGGTCTGGAGATTTCCTGGTGGACCGCGCTGATGTGTGGGCTGCAGGGCCAGCACTCCCTGTTTTAAAAAAAAAATAAATAAATTAAGAACTTTTTATTAACAACGTATAAACACAGAACACCGCTGCAGCTGGGGCTGCCAGCTCATTTTTTTTCCCCGACCTGTTAATCAATCCAGTTGGCGTGTCAGCAAATGACCAATCGGCGACCTCAATTTGTCCCGAAGGTAAACGCCCCTTGGCTGCGGAGCTGCTCTGCAGCTGCTCAGTGTGGACACTCGAGCATGAAGTCTTAACCCTCTGCGGACAGTGCGCACAGTTTCTGCGCGAGTATACTGGAGCCTTAATGATGCAGGTGTGTGGTTACCATGGTGACCCTAATGAGTCACTAGTAGCAACTTTAACATTGGTTTTGATCTGGGTTATCTTTACACTTTTTATACGGCAGTGATCGTCAATTAAAATTCTGAGATTTGCTTTAAGAAAAATTTATTTAGCTAAGGTTCAGAATATAAATATTTAAGTTGTCTTTCAGTGACTGTCATGATTATTTTCTTCACTCCATAAAGTTTTTTAGGTCTGTACCTCTTGGCTGACCAAAAAAAAAAAAAAAACCACAAGCCATTCGCAGAATTGCTTAAAAAGGAAGAAAAGCTGTGCACCTAAAATTAATTACCGTAAGACCGGGAAAAGCTGTGCTGCCTAAAAAAAATTACCGTACATTGTAAAAAAAAACAACAAAAAAAAAACGGTGTGGCCTAAAATAAACTGCTGTTGTATTACCGTAAATTGTAGAAAACCTATGCCCCCCTAGTTAAAATACTGTAAGTAGTAGAAAAACAGCACTGCAAAAATATATTAATGTACATTTTAGAGAAGCTGTGCCGTCGTAGTTAATCAGTAAATCAAAGAAATGCTGTCATGTAGAATGACATGCATAAAAAAATTTACCATAAACTGTAGCAAAGCTGCACAGCTTAAAACAAAATACTGTAAATTGTAAAAAAGCAGCGCTGCCAAATTAAATTACTGTAAATTGTAGAAAAGCTATACTGCCCTTGGTAAATTATAGTGAATTGCAGAAAGGCTTTACCATGTACAATGAGTTACCGTAAGCCTGGGAAAAGCTATGCTGCCTAAAAAATATTACTATAAACTGTAGAAAAACTGTGGAGCCTAAAACAAAATATTGTAAATTGTAGAAAAGCAGCGCTGCCAAAATACATTATCGTAAATTATAGAAAAGCTGTGCCGTCTAGAATGAATTGCCGTAAATCTAGGAAAAGTCACGCTGCCTAAAATAAAATATCAGTTGTGGGGAAACGTGCACAAGTCAAAAAAAAAAAAGATTTAAAACAATGTTATGCTATTGAACAGTAACAACCAGTCCTGGTTCAGACAAAACTTAATTTGGGTCCAGTCCAGTCTACCATTTGGGGGAACCCTTATGTACAGTTGATACATCAACTTGTACAAATTTAATCTTAAATTATTATAAAGTTGTATTGGAATTTGGCGCATTGGCAACCTTTAAAATGTCTTCAGAAAATGTTTACTTCCTCTTTATTACACGTGAAATGGTAAAACCTCTCGACTTCACATTGATCCTCATGTTTTTTCCCCACTTTGTTCCTGCAGGAATCTCGGGCTACAGAGTGACGAGCACACCAACCAGTGGTCACAGAGGAAATTTTCTAGAAGAATTTGTCCCGGAGCACAAGACCTCGTGCACCCTGGAGAACCTGAATCTGGGTGTGGAGTACAACGTCAGCGTGTTCACCACCAAGGGTCACGTGGAAAGTCCACCGGTGTCCACGGTTGTCACGCCAGGTAGAACCACCGGGGAAAGGCATCTTCTATTCACAGATGGGTCTTCAGAAAGAGTCCAGCTAGTTAGACTTAAGTCCAGCTTCAGATAGTTTCGTCTCCTGTTAGTTTGATCGAGTTTCATCTGTTGCATCAGTTGGCCCTTTGTTGCCAGAGTATCGCCACACCAAATAATTTCTACAGTGAAGCTTTGTTAGTTATCTAACAAGCTAAATGAAAGTTGTTTTACTTGGACATTCATGAATCTGAAGGTTTCTTTAGGATCCATCCACTTGGTCAAGAGATGTTTTGCTAACAGACAGGGTTGACTCCCAATAGTTAATTGCAAATTTTGAGCAAAGATCTTGTGCTTGAATTATATGTTGGGGGTCAGTTTCAGCTACTAACACATAAAATCTCAGTATCTGTAAAACTGAGTTGTAATAATTTTGGTGTTTGGCTACGGTTGATAAGATGTGGTGGCCATCTTGACCTTTTTAACCAAAAAGGTAATCCGTTGTAGTTTGTCATCTAATGATTGCTTTTTGGGAGTTTCATTCAAACCTGTCAAATGTTTTATGAAATATTTTGCTAGCTGACATTTAATCCACTATCATTGTCGACTAATACGATCACTGTCTAACCTACATGCATGAAAATCACATTTATTTATTTATTAAGATTGTTTATTTAGAATGGCTAAAAAATATGTAATTGCCTGCAATTTGCTCTTTAATTGGAAATGTTTGTAGTTATGGGTTTGGCATGGCTATGATGATTATCTGAATGCTTTATTGGTATTTTTTTTATATAGTATTTAATTTTGCTTGCACTTTGCACCTGGTCTAACCCTTCCAGAAATCCCCACACCAGCTCACATTGACTTTGCTGACATTACCCACACCACCATCAGCCTGCGCTGGATCCCCCAGAACTTTACCGCCTTTACTGCTTACCGGATAACCGTAGTCACCGTAGGCGAGAGCCTTCCCGTGTTTCAGGACATGGTGAATACAGCTGATGGTTTTTACATGATTCATGGTTTGGAGCCCGGCGTGGAGTATGTCATCAGTGTCAGCTCAGTGACAGAGGACGGGGAGAGCGAGCCGACCACTTACTCAAAGCAAACGCATGCTGGTGATTTTATTTTTCACTCCGTCAGGCTGGTTCTGTCATCTGAAAGAACCGGGGTCAGTTAACGTGTTAAAGCAGGGCATCTTATGTCGTCACAGATGATCTTGCATGGTAAAATATGTTTGTTTTCTGGTGCTTTAATGTAGTTTAGAACCAGAGAAATTCTTATAATTTTCTGCTAGAGTGCTGACTGACTGCTAACAGTTGCTTAAGAAGCAGAAACTGAGATGTTAAAGTTAAAATAAGCACAACTCTAGCCAAATGCTAAAAGAAAGAAAACACTAGCTAAATATTAAAAGTAGCTCAACTAGCTTAATGCTAAATGAAGCAACACTCTAGCTAAAAGAAGCTAAACTTTAAAAGAAGCTAAACTTTGGCTAAATAAGCACAACTTGAGCTAAATGCTAAAAGAAACAAAATACTAGCTAAGTGTTAAAAAAAAAAATCGAAACTCTTAATTACAAGCTAAATAATAAATAAATACAATTCTGGCTAAATGCTAAAAAAAAAAAAAAGCAAAACTCACTTAACGCTGAAAGAAGCTAAACTCTAGCTAAACAATAAGAGTCTAAACTAGCTAGACGCTAAAAAAGCAAAACTAACTAGCACACCACTTTATTTAAAAAGCACTTAAAACAACAACAAAGCCAAACAAAGTGCTGTACTAACTAAATGCTAATAAATTTGTGCCTAATTGCTAAAAAATGCAAATCTCACTAAATGCCAAAAGAAAGAAAACTAGCAAAATGCTTTACTGTATGTTTTTCAATAGGGAAAAAGATGTTTATAAAGTAAAGCATTTGGAAAAGTATAAAAATGACAGAGTCTTAGCACCCATCACCTGAATGAGCTGAATGTTTTGTATTAATAGCTAAACAGCACAAAGTATTCAAAAGTAGTTAAGTTGCAAAAACGCACAGAAAAATGTAAAACAAGAAAACACTAATGTGAACTCAAGAGTTCGAACTGAGTAGTGGTGCACAAAGATGCCATACTGCCATAACAACACTTAGGTTACGCCTGTACATGATTTGAGGAACTGGAAGAACAGGAAGTTAATGGACCTCATCAAGTTTAAAGACCTTCTAGAAACTTCAGCACCACTTAAAAAAAAATTAAAAAAATCGGTGAACATGTGGATTTATTTGAGCCTGTACTTAACAAAAACAAATGTTTCTGTGGGTGTTTGTTCCCCCCGATATTCTAAATTAAATTCATGCTCCAACGAGTGCAGACCGATCTAAGACGTTTCTGTTGAAAACTGAAAATAATAAATGTTACCTTGGCTTGGTTTTTATCTTCAAATCTCTGCTTCCTCCAGCCATGCCCGCTCCAACCAACCTGCAGTTTGGAGGCGTTGGACCCGACCACATCAGGGTGACGTGGACGATCCCCAACATCGCCACGCCAAGTCAAATTTCCCGATTCGTCATCCGTTATCACCCCGTCGCCACGGATGATGATGTCAGAGAAGTTAATGTGGGCGGAGCCACCAACACCTTCCTGTTGCAGAGTATGATGATGTTCAGAGATCACTGTTCTGTATTTTTACCCAGCATTCCTTGCGTGTTGATCTGACATGCATCTGATTATTATTATTTTTTCTTCATAAAGACCTGCAGCCCAACACGAAGTACCGGATCAGTGTGGTGACGGTTTACGGCGACCAGGAAAGTGAACCGGCCACAGGAACTCAGAGCACAGGTGAGTCAGAAGCGTCTGCCCCAGCAGGAGTCTCCATGAGGGTCTGAAGGTGGAGCAAAACCTGCTTTTGTTTATTATTTACTTTTAAAATCTAATAAAATGTCATGAAAATGACAAGTGTGATGTATGTTGGAGTTTACGCTCAGCTACTACCACTACAAATTTTAGCTTGTTGTAAAATTCAGTTCAGTTTATTTATAAAGCTCCAAGTCGCAGCAGAAGTCATCTCAGGGCGCTGAACAGAAACATTCATATATTAAAACTGTCAACTGTAGCCATTTTGGGGCTTTCTAATGGCAGTTGGCTGTGGCGGCCATCTTGAATTGTACTGACTTGACTGGATTCATTAATCTAATACATATCCTGATGCATGCTCAATAATCCAGGTAGAAAAATCTAAAAAAGTTAAATCTGGTCCTCTGGACATTCAAATAAAAAAACAAAACAAAGCAAATCAACAAAACGTTTCTACATTTTTTTTGTTGATTTGCTTTGTTTTGTTTTTTATTTGAATGTCCAGAGGACCAGATTTTTAACTTTTTTAGAAATCTAATACATAATTTCTGAGAGTCTTATTAAAGTCCATGCACTGGCTCATGAGCCATTTTGCTGACTGACAAATAAACAAAGGCAATTACATGATCACCCATAATTGGACCAATTCCATTTTAAAGGCAGTTTTTTAAGATTCATTTTAATATTAAGATTTTCATGATTTCCTAAATATGTTTCCAGCTAACTCAGAACTTTCCAAAACCCTCTCTTCCAGTTCTGGACTCCCCGACCGAACTGAACTTCGTCGACATCCAGACCAACTCCTTCACCGTCCACTGGCTGCCTCCCAAAGCCACCATCAGCAGCTACAAGATCCGCTTTCAGAAGACGAGCGGCGGGCGAGCCAAGGAGGAACGGCTTCCCCCCAACAGGAACCACTTCACTTTTACCGGGCTGACACCGGAGACCGAGTACATGGTTTACGTGTTCGCCATCAGCAACAGTCAGGAGAGTCAGCCACTGACTGGAACCCAAGCCACCAGTGAGTTTCCACTTCTGACACTTTAATCCTTCATTATGTTTATGCTCAATGTTTGAACGCTTAGTCAACAGTTTTTTTTAGTGTTCCCTATGCTTTTAAGAGCTCTGCTTACTTTGTTCTTTTAGCCATTTTATCAAAACGTTTGGCTCATTCAGGAAGGACGTGGTTGCTGCGACCTTTGGTTTTTGCAACTTTTACACATTTTTATATACTGTATTTTCCACCGTACACGTCGTACCACCTTATAAGTTGCATCAGTCCAAATATGTCTAATAAAGTGGAAAAATCCATAAATACGTCGCTTCGCCGTATACGTCGCTTCGCCGTATACGTCGCTTCGCCATATACGTCGCTTCGCCATATACGCTGCATCTATTATGTGTCACCGGCGACGCGTCGCTTTGTTACGCGTCACCGCTGACAACACGGAAATGTGGGTTGGCGGTGTCCAAAAATCGATTGACTGTCAAATGGCGGCTGCGGGAGCGTGCACGGGAGAACTTTAACAAGATTAACACTTAAAAACAACTATTTGTTTGCTTGAAATTATTGTAAAGCTGTGTCTCAGTCTAACTTCTCCTTAATAAATGCACTATGACGGTCAAATCATCTGCATTTTCAAAAGCCGATAAGTGGAAGACGTAGGTAGGCGCGTGCACAAGAGGACTCGCTGCACATTTCTTCAAAATTTAACAAGATAACCATCTAAAAGCAATTATTTGTTTGCTCGAAATTATAGCAAAGGTGTGTCTCAGTTGAACTTTTACTTAATAAATGCACTTCAATGGTCAAATTAGTTGCATTTCGCCGGGGCGGCGCAGTGAAATGAAGCTGTTTTGACGGTTGCTCTAAGCAAACTGGACGAAGCTGGCAGGTTATAACAAGCTGATTGTGTCATTAATAGCCACTTTTACCTATTACATGACACAACAGCACACCATACCACTCTAGTGCCATCTAGTGGCTGAAAATGGTAGTGTTCAATGTTTTCAGTCAGAATGAATGAAAATGGTCATATCTCAGCCAAATGGTGGCGCAGAGATTAGAGAAGGTGGGCCTGTGATCGGAAGATCGCCGGTTCAAGCCCCGGTACTGACAACATCAAAAATGTGGGTGGGGTAGGTGAAGCACCCACACCTGCACCCACCCTCATTCGTCCCACTCTGGGCCCCTGAGCAAGGCCCTTAACCCCCACCATCTGCTCCTCGGGTGTCCTAGATGGCAGCTCTCTGCTCCACACAGAGGGCTGTGGTAGCTCGGTGGTCTGTGGTTGCGTCAGGAAGGACATCCGGTGTAAAAAAAATAACTGCCAAGTCTTCGTGCGACTTGGTTCACTGTGGCAACCCCTAAAATAGGGAGCAGCCGAAAGAAGAAGGAGGTCATATCTCAGCCAAAAATTGTTTTATAAATATGGGGAAAACATAAATAAGTTGCTTTGGCATATAAGTCGCAGGGCATGCGAATTATGCAAAAAAAAAAACCTGTGACTTATAGGGCGAAAAATACGGTATTTAGTTTATATTCACAAATGTTTTCCTTATAGAAGTACGAGGTGTCCAATTCCTTCAAAAACTTTGTCCTTTTTGAAATTGACTATAGTACAGTTACTTTTAGCGTCTATATCTTCTTGTGATAACTTTGGCTTTTGTCTAATCTTTTGCTACTTTAGCCTTTTTCTTTTTTTAGTCGGTGGTGAGCACGGCTAACCAAAAAGTTAGCATTGCTAATCCATATTCCACTAACTAAAAAAAAATAGTTGAAGCTTACGCGAAACAGGTTAAAAAAATTAGCTGAAGTGAAAGCTAAATCGCTAATCGCTAAGACGACTGTCGCCCAGTCTGCGTCACACGTCTTCCGTCTCTTTCCAGTTGAAGCTGCGTTGATCAATCGCGTCTCGTCACGTGCACACATAGTAAGCGGGATGCCGAGACACGCCCACACCACACAAGAATTGTGAATTTTGTTAGACTTAAAAGTTGGTGAAATCTAATTCAGCAGAAGCTAATTCATCAAATGAAAATGCTAATTTTATTAAAAAAAATAAAAAAAGTTCTGTTTTAGCTGTTAGCAGATTAGCTGAACATTTAGATAGATTTTTGCTGTATTACTTTGAACCTTTAATGCTGTACCATCAGTTAGGCTTAGCTACTCTTAGTTATCCTTTTTTTTTTACTTTTAACTATCTTTTAAATACTTAAAGCTAAGTTTGTGTTCATAGCTAGGCTTTTGGTACTTTTAGTCAACCTTTTGCTACATTTGGCTTCTAGTTAACTTTGTGATACTTTAAGCCTTTGGCTTTAGCTGGAGTTGATAGTTTTTAGATAGCCTTTTGCTCATTTTAGCTAGCGCTGTGCTTTTACTATTAACAACTCAGTTTCAGCTTCTTTAACTAAAGTTAGCAGTTTTCACAGTAAACATCAATTTGTTATTTAAACTTTTGTAATAAAAACTTCTTTAATTCCTTCGTGTGCAGTCTCTGATGCTCCCACTGACCTGGAAGTGACATCATCCACCCCCACCACCATCAACATCCGCTGGGACGCCCCCTCTGTTGACGTCAGGAACTACAGGATCACCTACAGAGGATCAGGTGTGTTCTTTATCGTCATTCACATCACACAGCTGGAACGAAATTGTGTACTCAAGGTCCCAGTTACGCCCAAACATAGCAAAAATATAAAGTATAAAAAAGAAACAAGGATCTAATACGCTAAACACTAAAAATATAAAATAATACGGTGTATTAAACAGCAGAACTAACATGAGTCTGGATCTGTAAAATGGATTGATTCACAGATATTTATTTGTGTTTTAGGTGGAGAATCTCAGGAGATTTTAATCCCAGGTACCCAGACCTCGGCCACCATCACCGGGCTGCAGCCTGGTACTGACTACACCATCACGGTCTACGCCATCACAGCCCGAGGAGACAGTCCGGCCTCCGACAGACCCGTCTACATAACACACAGAACTGGTACGTCAAAAACAAACAAGAAGTCTTAATTGTTTGATAAATTTATAGATTATTTTTCCTACATACGTCTTCATGCATTTAGCGTAACTTACAGTAGGCGTCCCTACATGGAGGACCACGGTCCAGATATGGATCCCAGTAAATTGCCATGTAGACCCAGATTGGTTGGTAAATTTAAAAAGGACATAATGTTTTTACTTTCACTTATTCACAGTGATTTTAGGTTGAGGTCTTTATTACACGGATCCTGATTGTTTGGTACATTTGTTTGAAAATGGTCTCTTTACCTGCGCACCTTATTATTGCATCTTCAGTCATTTTGGGAGTGGGTTCAGATCGGTTGATAACATTTCAGAGAATTTAGTTTTTTTTTTTTTTTGCACAACTTTTTATTACATTTATGGTAATTAAATCTAAGAGGCACTGCATTATAGTTTATTTCTGTGTGTAAATAATGTGTATGTGTTGGACTTTTGCTTGAGGTGCACTTCCTTGAATGTATATTGAAGTCCACGGATCTAAACGTTGTTATTTATGCATTTTTAGACACCGAGGCCCCGACTGACATGAAAGTCACCGACGTGAGTGATAACGCCATCACGGTGCGCTGGTCTCCGGCTCAGGGACCGATCAAAGGCTACAGGGTCACGAGTGTCCCCAAAAATGGTCTGGGACCTTCGTACTCGGAGGTGGTGGCCCCCGGTAAGACAGGCTGGACTTTGAATCTGACATTTTAATTATTTTTTTTAATTAAAAACATCTTCTCATTGGTCTTTGTCGTGCTTGACTGTTGCAGATCGGACTGAGATGACGTTCACTGGTCTGATGCCCACCGTGGAGTACGTTGTGAGCGTTTATGCTCTGGGCAGCAGTGGACAACCGTCGTCTCCTGTGGTGGAGAACGCAGTCACTGGTTAGTTTGGTCAAAGACGATTGAAAAAACACTGTGAAAGACTTGTAGCTGATGCCAGGAGTGTCCGACATGTTTATCTTTCTTCTGTTTCTGCAGCGATGGACCATCCGAAGGATCTGAGCTTCACCGACATCGACGCCACCTCCATGCGCATCACGTGGGACAGTCCAGATGGGACGGTGACATCATACCGCATCCTTTACTCCAGCCCAGAGGAGGGCGAGCGAGAACTGCGTCCAGCGCCCCGACGTGACCAGGACAGCGCGGTGCTGAAAAACCTCCGGCCCGGGACCGAGTACACCGTGAAAGTCTACGCCTTTAACGGCCAAACGGCCAGCTCGCCATTAGTGGGGACCCAGGCCACCGGTACAGCCGCACAGAAAACAGCATCACATATTAACGTCCGATTGTCGTGTGAGCGCTGAGGCAGCGTTCACACCCGCTTCCTGTTTTTAGTTTCTTACGTAGGTTTTTGTTGCAGTTTAAATATTTCCTCACACTTTGAAATATTTTTACTGTTCGAAGATCAAAATGTTCGGCTTGATAAGCATCAGTGTTGGGACTTTGAGTATTTGACCTTTTTTTATACTTTTTTAATTATTTAACTTGAAATATTTTCACCATAGAAAAACATTTAAATTTATTCAGTTCCTTCAAAAATATTGTTCTGTTTGAAACCTGCCTCAGAAAGTTATTTTTGTTTTGCTCCTTTTATGCTTCTTTTAGCCTGTAGCTATTTTTGCTCAGTTTAGCTTTTAAGCTACTGCGTTGCTACCTTTTAGCCACACGTTTATTAGTTTTAACTTTTAGCTTGTGTCTCACTACATTTAGCTTTCAGCTGTAGATTTTCTTATTAGCCTTTTTCTTAACAATATTTTTAGCTTTAGATGTTGTTTTGCTACATTTAGTTTTGAACGACTGTTTTGCTCATTTTATCTTTAATCGGTGTTATTACATCAAAAAAAGCTTCAGCCAATGGTCTTGACACATTTAAACTGCAGTTTTGCTATTTTGCTAATGTAAACCTTTAGCTAATCTTGATAAGTTTAACTTCTAATTATAGTTTTACTATTTTGACTATTACTGGTATCTACAGTCTTGCTACATTTAGCTTTTAGCTACAGTCTTGAAACATTTAGTTTTTAGTTTCGATTCAGCTAATTGGAGCTTTCAGCTATAATTTTCTAAGTTTAGATTTTAGCTATGGTCTTGATACTTTTAGCATTTACCTCTAATGTTGCTTAGTGGAGATTTTAGCCACTTTTTTGCAGCTTTTAACTTTTAACTATTGTTTTGCTAGTTTTGACACGTTCTGTAGTTTTGTTTTGACATCGGTCCTTCCGTTCCAGTCATCCCTGCCCCCACCAACATGGTGGTCTCAGAAGTTGGCCCGTCTGTCTTCACGGTCTCGTGGCGAGCGCCGAGCGCACGCCTGACAGGATACCGAGTGGTCGTTACGCCCAAAAACATCAACAGCCCCCACAGAGAGATGAACATTGCTCCGGGCACCACCCGTGTCGTCGTACCGGGGCTCATGGTAAACACCGTTCCTCTTCTTCTGTGAATATTTACAAGATTAAATTAATAATCTGTAAATAATTCTGTGTGTTTCTGCGGACCGTAGGTGGCAACAACATATGAGATCCAGGTGTACGCCCTGAAGAACTCCGTCACCAGCAGACCTCTGGAAGGAGAGGCGACCACACTGGAAGGTAACCTGTGGCTACGACTCGGTCCGTTTTCCTGACAGAGCTGCGCCTCGGTGTGGTAGTAGCTGAGAGTCGATACATTTTGTGCTCAACGTAGATGTGAGTCCTCCACGGCGCGTTCGCATCTCTGACGTGAAGGACACCGCCTTCACTCTCACCTGGAGATCCAAATTAGAACCCATCACCGGTTACCTGATCGAAGCCACGCCCATGAGCGGCTCGCGGTCCCCCGTCAGCAAGACCATCCCAGGAGATAAGACGACCTACACTTTCACAGGTAGACGTCCCTTTTCTGCTAAACAAAAGGTGAAAATCGTTTGAAGTTCTCTTTTCTGGAGTTAGTTGCTTCACGGTTTGTTTTCCAGGCCTGCAGCCGGGCACCACCTACTCCGTCAGCCTGTACACGCTGAGCGGAAACACCAAGAGCGCTCCGTTTACTCTCAGGGTCGACACAGGTACAGAACGAGCCTTTAGCTGTCGTCAACCCTTGTCTTGTCTTTTAGGGAAAAATCAGCCACGTTTAGTTTTGTTGTGTCCTTCTACTTTTAAAATGTTGTCCGAATTTTATTTAAATTGCTCTCATAACCTCACGGTAACTTTACTACACTCTCGTGTTCCTGAGGGGAGAATATCAACCAAACATCTTTTAACTCAGTAAGGTTTTTTTTGTACCTGTATCCCTACACTTGACATTAGACGTCTAGATGTCGCTCTGCTCTTAGATGAGAGCGTCAGTAAAAATCTAACAAGACGGAGTTCAGCTCACCCCAGAACAGGTACGTCTGTCCCGTCCAGAGTCGAGTCCCACCTCCCGTCTTCTCCGAGCAAAAACTCACGTGTAACGTGCACCAGTAAATATTTCGTACTGAAAAGCTGCTTCGCATGCATGCAGGCTGCAGAATCAGACGTTCCACGATGACGGCGGCTGACTGTTGTTGAAAAGCAGTTTAGAAACTAACGTTTCTACCACGGGAAAAGTTTTACACAATTTAATAATAATAATAGTTAAATAATAATAAAAAAAACTTGGAAAAAAACCTCCCTGTCTGGTGAGCAGGAGACGACAGCAAGTTTGACTGAGAACGAAGCCTCAGTTTCAAATACTGGATCTGAAGGGTCCGGTCTTTTGGAGGGTCTTTACAAAAGTCTGGACAGGAATTAAACAAAAAAAAAAAAAGTTATAAAAAAAAAAACGGCACACGTATTTTGGATGTATAAATATAAAATAAATGTTTGGCAATTAAAAAAAAATCAACAGAAATGTGGAGTTTTTTTTTTAAAACAAAAGACCCCTAAAGAGGTCAAATAAAAATAAATGATTTAAATTTGATTTTATTTCAGGCTGAGGTAACTCTAAAAGACTCACTAGTTTATTGTGTAAAGAAATATTAAAAATGAGTCTTTTTAAGCAGTTAAACAACGTGAAGGAACATGAATGGTCATAACGTTAAAGGGCAGTCTGGTTCTCCGTCCGTCGTAGCGCACGGAGTCTTGGAACACCCACTTCCTGTCTCTGGATTGAACCAATCACGTAACGAGCGATTCAAGACGATATCCTTGAAGTACAGTAACCACAGCCAGCAAACTGTTAGGGACCACTCTGCCAAGTATGAAAAAATATACATGGACAGAGTTATGAGGAAGGCAAACAAGATGATAGAAAACACACATCCCATGAGATCCTCATTTGAGTCGCTTCATTCAGGACAAAACTTTATTTCATACCACAAGCAATTAAATTATAAAAGGTATCATGAATTACTGAGCTCAAACTTCTTTACTGTAATAACAGATGTTAATGTCACGTTTGTAGATTTACTGCTGACAATGCTGCAAACCAATTTCCCTACTGGGACCAATAAAGCTATCGATCTATATATTCTTTCTAGCGAGACCTGTGGTCCAGGCTCCCACCAACCTCCAGTTCACCTCTCTGACGCCCACCTCCATCTCCTTCACCTGGCAGCCCCCTGCCACACACATCACAGGATATTACATCACCTACGAGGAGTCTGGAAGAGACCCCCAGGAGCTGACCCCCCGACCCCACGCCGGACAAAACTACGCCACCATAACGGGTACGAACGTTTTTCCATGAGTGAAAGAAATCCGTCGTGTCTGGAGTTACAGATCTGGACTGACACGTCCCCAGACCAGTTTGAGAGATTAAACGGGACTAACGGTTCTGGACAAAGTGTGGAGACATGTTGGCTTTAAATTGTTTATTTCCTGCTTTATTTGTTGTTGTTGTTTGTCTCTTGTTTACGTTAAGAACACACACACCTGAGGGGATTGTACCATGAACCCACGTTGCTAAATATCAACAGAACGTACATATTTTAATTTTCTCACATTTACGGTAAAGTGGTGCCGCTTTTCCGTCCTTGAAAGTTCCTGAAACGGTGGAACCTTCATGTGAAGTCTGATCTGGACGCAGACTTGGTGGTAAATTTAACATTTCTTTTAAACGGTAAATATGTTTAATCTGCACAACTTTTCTATAATGGATGTTTAGGTAAAAGGTTAGAAGCGCAGCCCTTTTTGTAGACGTTACTGGACTTTAACAGAAAAAAACAAAGTCTTTACGCAGTTGAATTGAAGAGACGCGCTCTGTGCTCACACGCAGGTCTGAGACCAGCCACAGAGTACGTCGTCAAAATCATCGCCATCCAAAACACGCAGAGGAGCACGCCTCTGGTGGGCCGCGTCAGGACCCGTAAGTATTCAAAGGACTAAAGAAAACTGCTGGATCAGTTGTAAATGTGTGAAATGAAAGCTTTTGTTTGCTCGGATGCATTATTTTGCTGTTGGGGGGCTTCAGTCCACCAGCGTTCGGCTGCTAAACCCTCCCTTTTCATTTTGAATGGACGTCATTCAAAATATTCAGCGTTTGTTGGAACATCTGACGACACTTTAACTGTTGCCTCCATCGGCTGACATGCGCCTCGTCTAACCTGCTTGCTTCCCTAACCGTCTCTCCCGCCCAGAGCCAGACTCCTTGCTTCCCCTGCCTCTGCCCCAGCCCCACCGCCCCGGAGGGGACAAGCTGGACGTGCCTGAAACGGACTTGGACAACAGAGTCCACATAGCGGGCTCTAACCAGGACGGGGACGGCGGCCATGGCCAGCATGTGGAGTACACGGAGTACAACAACGGAGGCAACGCGCAGACTCCTTATGACCAAGTCCGTGAGCCCCTGGTCTTTGTCCCCCTCCCTGATGCAGAAGGCCGCAGACTCCCCATTCTGAAGCTTCGGGTGCCCGTTGGATCCGTTTTTAACAAGACAGGAGTTCCTCTGGAGGCCCAGACTCAAACCAGCGTCTCCTGGAAGCCTTACACTCAGAGCAACGCCTACGAGTTGTCCTGCCACCCTCTGACACACGGCAACGAGAAGATGTTCCAGGTAAGAGCCGAAGCTTTCAGACACGTCAACGAGCCAATGAACCCCAGAACTCATTTCATGTCAAATCGTTGCATTCTGCAGGTCCGCCTGCCGGGCACGGCCACCACCGCCACCCTGATCGGACTCACCCCCGGAGCAGACTATAACGTGATCGTAGAGGCCATACTGGGAGCGCTCAAACACAAGATTCTGGAGCAGGTCGTCACGGCTGGAAACGCAAGTAAGCTTCGTACGGAACCGCCACGAAGCATGAAATGTGAACAATATCACAAGGAAGCACGAGTGAACCTCGAACTTAAACACTAACGTCGCACAGAAACATGATCCTCGTACAAAGAGAGGAAAACCATGGACAGGAACAACTGCGGCTGAAGAAGTTCTCACAGCTGCGGTTTGTTGCGGTTGATTAGCAGCGACCGCCATCTTGAGTTGACATAAAACAGTTGTAGACGTTCATCCAATGATGAGTATTAAAGTTGACCCACTGGTTCATGAGATTTTCTACTAACAAATGCACACACCGTAATTTCCAGACTACTGAGCGCACCTGAACATGAGCTGCGCCCACTAAATAAAAAATAATTAATTAAAAATTTATACACGTATAGACTGCGCTTGTCTACGAGCCGTGGATGTTCACGTTGTAACATGAGATATTTAGATTTTTAAACTTTTAATTAAATGCGTACCGTAACAAATATGTACAGTAAATGATTTTTTCTGAACCGTGCCTGTAACAAAGCTGGTTTAAAAAAAAAAAAACATAAAGTAGCTACTTCCTACCAGGAAGTCATTGATCACTACCTTCATCTTCATCACGCAGCAGCCTTTCAAACCCAGCGGTGATGGAGGATTTACCGTGGTCAGGATCCACCCGCAGACTCGAGCAAAACTTGCACTTCGCATGCGACCGGTTTTTGGTAAACAATTTCTCGCCACCAATAATCCAAGCCTCCCACCGAGCTCAGAGTGCCACATTAATGGACGATTCACGAGTGGCCGCTTTCCTCCCCTCCCCCCGGGTAAAGAACAGGGAGTGGGGGTGGGACAAACCCCCCACTCTCTGTTCTCCCCTCCCCCATGACCAGTTCAGTAATTTCATTGGTCAGATCATTTTTTAACCTTTGTTTTATACAGATAGTCTATTTGAGTCACCAGGACCCCCCCCCCCCCCCCCCCAAAAAAAAGGGAGACATGTATTGGGCAGCTATGTGAGCACCCGGGGGTGACGGGGTTAAATGTTTTGGCGGCATGAAGCTCGTTAGCCCATCAAAAAAAAAAAACACATTGCTGCAGCTTTGTAAACACCGCTGTTCAAAACGTGTGAAAGAAGTAGCAGCTTATAGTCCAGAAATTACGGTAGTTACATAATTACGTCTTTCATGGCTGTGGGAAATTTAAAGTCTGATTCTTTTTTTTTAAAATTTAGTTCAATTTATCCTCCCTCCTTTCAGTCTCTGATGTCGCTCCGCCCAGTAAGGACATGTGTTTCGACGCCTTCACTGCGACCTACCACGAGGTGGGAGGTGAATGGGAGCGCCTGTCGGAGACGGGCTTCAAGCTGTGGTGCACGTGTTTAGGCCTGGGCAGCGGCCACTTCAGATGTGACTCATCCAGTACGTTTGCCAGATCCTTGCATCAACACCTTCATCTCTGATTATACTTCACGTGAGTGATGTAATGTTTCGTCACCAGAGTGGTGTCATGACAACGGCGTCAACTACCGCATCGGAGAGCGGTGGGACCGCCGCGCTGAAAACGGACACCTGATGAGCTGCACCTGTTTGGGGAACGGCAAAGGAGAGTTCAAGTGTGACCCACGTAAGACCTCTTTCGAAACAGAAAGTCTGGTGAAGTTTAGGGGCTACGTGTGAATTTTAACACGCGTGTTTATTTACGCAGATGAGTCCGTGTGTTACGATGAAGGCCAAACCCACAAGGCAGGCAGTCAGTGGCAGAAGGAGTACATGGGTGCCATCTGCTCCTGCACCTGCTTTGGAGGGCAACAGGTGAGACAGGCCCCTAAAGTCGAGATTGAAATTAAGATTAGATCTCTAAAGAGGGGTTCTATGAAAAGGTTATGAACAATTAATATCTTACATGTTGTAGATAGCTTTGTGATGGACCTAATATGGGAAAAATAATCAGACTGAATTAACTCGATTTCAACTCTTACAAGAGAAAAATATTAACCACCTTATTTAACTGCTTAAAAATAATATTTTAACAATAAACTAGTCTTTTAGGGCTATCAGCCTGAAACATAAATGACTGAATTTTTAACTCTTAAGTGTCTTTTTGTTTAAACAAATCACAATTCAGTTGTATTTTTTTAATCAACAAAATAATTTTTACAATTTTAGAAAAAATGGCATTTTCCCCCCAATTAGTACGCCCAAATGGATGTGAACGTGTACTGGTCCGTTGGAAAGTTGTCTTGTATGAAACTGGTCTGTGATGTAAATGGTTGGTGGCCACTGGTGTTCAAAGTAAAAAAATAAAAACCAGTTCAAAATGTTCAGTCGGTCACCCACCTGCCGTTAGCATCAACACTTTCAGATTGTTCGCCATCTACAACAGGTAAGATATTAACTGTTCATAACCTCGCCACAGAACCCACCTGTAAAAAGATCTTTTAGTCTGTATTAAGTTTAAATGGAGTCTTCTTCAGAGTATGTCGGTTTTGTCCCATCAGGGATGGCGATGCGATAACTGCCATAGACCCGGTTCTGATGTGGATCCCAGTTTCCTGCAGCCCATCAGATACGCAGACAACACGCTGAGAAAAGTGAGCGCGACCTCTTAACGGATTTATTGTTCTGGAGCGCAGATTACCCAGACTGACCTCTGATCACGTTCTTTTTTTCAGAACGTCAACTGCCCCATCGAGTGCCTCCGACCCGGCCTGCTGGCCGACAGCGCCGCTCCCCAAACTCCTCACAAATAACGGGTCGGCTTCCTCGCCGCCCCGTCGCTGCACTGTCTCACCTTACAGAAGCCACGCCGTCTGTGGGAGCAGAACGCCGCTCTCGCTTCCTTCCCGACCCGTTTTAGTTCACCGGCCTGTTTCATCTGCCTCGATGGTTTCTCTCGACCAGTCTGCCCACTGTTGCAACATCGGACCCTGAAATGATGGTACGCCCGATCCGTTACGGATTATTTGCATCGACTCGTTTTGAAAATGTCAAAAATTCAGCAGTGTTGAAGAACGTCACTTTGTTCTTGTTTCTGTTCTGTAGCCGTCCGGCTGAAGCGTTTCATCTTTGTAGTAATTTATCCTTTAATCTGGGTTTATGAATGTCCGAGTCAGGATGTGAGAAAGTTGTATTTTTGTACGTCGTCGTTTAAACAAGTCCCTTATTTTAATAAAGCTGGAGAGATCCTGAATTTCAAACATTGTGTTTGTTTTAATTTCTTTTTTCAAGTCTGTTGACGCTTTTCATTTTCCAACTTTAAAACAAAATCTAAAGGCAAGAAGAAATAATTTTATGTAACTTAAAAAAAAGTTTTTGGTCATTTCCTGTTTTTCCATCTTATATCGGTCAAAAGTAAATGTTCCCTAATTATGCTCATTCTGATGAATCTGCTCATTTAATTATTTGTATTTTAAGTATTTCTAAAAACATGTAATTCAATAAGAAAAGCTTTAATTAATTGGTTCCTAACTAAAACTAACAATATATTGTTATTTATTAAATGGAGATCACTGATCTTTTTTACACGGGAGGCCTGAGCAGTAGAGGAATGACCCGGACAAGCAATGACCTCATTTTCACTTTGACCTTGATTTGTGACCTTGGAGCAGAGGTGAAGACATGACAGTTTAGTGACGATGCACGTGTGTAGAATGTTTTGTGAAATTATCCTGAGCAGATCAGAAGTTATGGGCCACACGAGAGAAAGTTTACGGCCTTTGACAGGCGTAAAAAAAATATGGGAAAGTTTACACTTTTTTTGTATTTCTTAGTTAAAATTTTAAAGAATTTATCTTTAAAATGTTTTGAAAAACAAAAATGCAGTTTGATTAAAACTATGTAAAGAATAACTGACTTAAAGGAACTGCCAAAAAAGAAAAGAAAAAATTAAACTTAACTAAAGAAATGTCATTTCCTGTGAAAATGCCACGCGAATGCTTATTGCTGAATTTTGCTGAAAACAGCTGGAGAGGTTTCATCACCAAACTGTTTATGTGAGCCGACATTTGCAAAACGCAGGAAAAACAGAAAAGTGTAGAAAAAGCTGAAACGGTGAAACCTAAACACTGAACAGCTGAAACCTACAAAAACGCTGAAATGAGAAAAAAAGCTGAAAGAATTTTTAAAAGTACTGTAGCTGAAAATGCTTTAAAAAAAGATGCAGCTGAAATTAACAAAGAGCAAAAAGAGCATTAAAAACTTGAAAGCTGCGGTAACTTGGTGGTATCGTGGTCTTGTAATTCTGAGGCTGCAGGTTCAAGCCCAGTTTGCATCAGGAAGGGCATCCAGTCACCAAACCCTTCAGGGGAGTTTGCTTACTGTGGCAAGAGCAGCCGAAAGAAACTTACAAAAGGTAAAATTTTGCTAAAATATAAAAAAAGGCTAAAAATAGCTTAAAACCTAAAAAGTAGCTGAATTTAGTGGAAAGAAGCTGAAAAGAGCAATAACAGGTTGTAAACAGCTAAAGGGGTTGAAGGATGTGAAGAGCTCCATTCATTCTCAATGAGGAAAACATGGCCGACAAAGCTAAATATTTCAAACAGTAAAAACAGAGACGAGCAGAAATTTCCTGAATGAGCCGAACGTTTTGATATCTGTATTGTTGAAATGGAACGAGCTACAAGCTGAAAACCGGACCAGGAACAGAATAAAAACATGGATCTGTCGTTCTCACAGCAGCTAAAATTTCCTCCAGAACATTCTGTTAGTGAACGGGTCGACTGAGGAAGATGAGACGGGGCGCAGCTCTTCATCAGTTTATTTCACCTGAACAATAAAACTAACGTTCACAGCAGCGTCGCGTCTCCCTCGGGTCAGGAATGGTTCTGAAGTGGTTCGTTAACGGAGCGTGTGGACCCGTGGAGTCAGAACCGGTTCTTTTCAGTGATGGAAGAGTCTCAGTCCGGTGTGGACCAGAACGATGCCGAGCTCGTTGCAGGCTTTGATCACCACCTCGTCTGCAGCAGAACCGGCCGGAGCCGCGATGTACCCAACACCGCTCTGAACACACAAAGACAGGCGGTCAGAGGTTACCGGGTCAACGGGACCCGCATGTTCCCAGGTTCTGGTTCGTTACCCGTTTGGCCCGGTCGATGTTGTCTCTGAAGGGGAAGAAGGCGTCGGAGCTGACGGCGACGGACCGCAGGGAACCGATCCAGTTCTTCTTCTCAGAGTCGGACAGCGGCGCCGGAACTTCCTCGAACATCGACTTCCACACGTCCAGGTCCGCCCCCTGAGACAACCGCACCGCAAAATACACACCGCATGAAAACAAAGTACACACAAAGTTAACAAAATACACACCGCATGAAAACAAAGTACACACAAAGTAAACAAAATACACACCACATGAAAACAAAATACACACAAAGTAAACAAAGTACACACCACATGAAAACAAAGTACACACAAAGTAAACAAAATACACACCACATGAAAACAAAATACACACAAAGTAAACAAAATACACACCACATGAAAACAAAATACACACAAAGTAAACAAAGTACACACCACATGAAAACAAAGTACACACAAAGTAAACAAAATACACACCACATGAAAACAAAATACACACAAAGTAAACAAAATACACACCACATGAAAACAAAGTAGACGCAAAGTAAACAAAGTACACACCGCATGAAAACAAAGTACACACAAAGTAAACAAAATACACACCACATGTAAACAAAATACACCACATGTAAATAAAACACACACCACTTGAAAACACACACAAAGTAAACAAAATACACACAAAGTAAACGATACACACCACATGAAAAAGTACAGTAAGGCTAAAATAAATAAAAACAGAGCAGCTGTAGAAACATAATCCTGCATCCCAGATTAGATTATTTGGTCTCGGCCTGGTTCAGGATTTTTGAGGTTCCCTCCAAAATTTAGACTCAACAGGAAGAAGCGAAGGCGTCGATGTAATCAGAACCGAACATCACGCTGCCCGTCTCACCTCCCCCACGGTGCCGCTGACGTACTGATCGATGGCGTTGGCCATCTCGGCTCGCTTCACGCCGCTGCGAAACTTCATGTTCAGGACCCGGGGGTGGTGCCTGAGCCACCAGTTGTCGGCCTTGTCTCCAGCCAGTCGCGTGCAGTGGATACGGGACTGCTGGCCCGCCCCGATACCGATGACCTGAATGACACAGAGAGGAGGAGGAAACAGGATGAGGAGTCCAAACGTTCAGCTCCTCCTCACCTCCCCGCTCTCACCTGCCCGTCTTTGGCGTAGCAGACAGAGTTGGACTGGGTGAACTTCACAGCGATGGTGGCCACCATGAGGTCACGCACGGCTTCCTCCGACAGCTACACACACACACACACACACACACACACACACACACACTTAGTGGGTTAACATGTGGATGTACATGAAGATAAATTAGACTCAAAGTTGTCACACAAGCGTGCAACATTCACAAACAGTTTCACATTTCAAGTTACACAGGTAGGAATGTTCTGTGCATACAGTGAAATACACGTGCACAAATCACCTGCTGCGCACGGATCAGCTTGCCTGTGAATGTGACCTTTGAGTTTCTGCGTCAAGTTAGAAACAAGTCTTTTCCCAGGAATGCAGTAAATCTGGTGATGCTCAGATGTCCCAGCTTTTCAGCAGCCTTGAACGCAGCATTACCTTTGTGAATCTGGAGCAGTAACAAGTCACATCACAGCAGCTGATCCGTGCACAGCAGCTGATCCGTGCACGTCACAGGCAGCTGATCTGTGCACAAATATCTGACAACCTGCACACGCAGAACATTTCTACGTGTGCAAATTAAAATGTGTGCATTTGAAAAATTTGTTTGTGAATCTTGTGCGAGTACTTTTGAGACTAATTTAACTCCATAGATTTAGACCCAGTTTGAACAGAACAGAACCGCGACCCACCGAGCCTGTGGACACCACGTTCTTAAAGAACTCCTTGTTGATGAGAGCTCCGTTCCTCTTCTGTTTGAGGTGGAGACCAAACAGAACCCTCACCTCTGAATCGTCGGGCTCGTAACTTGGATCCATCTGGAACAGACAAACGGTAAAAAAAGTAAACTTTTGTTTTTTTCAGAATAAAAGTCTGTTTCAAACCAACTTCAATCACTGACAGAACCAACATAGACGTATAAGGTCCAGTTAACCTGATTCAAAATGGCCACCACAAACAGTGACAGCTCAGTCAGTTTTGCAGCCGTTGAGCTAACATTTGGCGTGGTAGTAGCTGAGAGTCATCACAAACTCTGAGTCCACATCAAACGAGCTCTTTGTTTGAAATGTTGGCGTCGGGAGATAAAGAGTTAATCCAAGGGCGGTTTTATTCATTTTAAATTATTTTTCTGAAAGTATTATTTTATTAAAGTTGCCCTGAATCAATTTTTTTAAAGTGTTAAAGGTTTTGCTCTTATATTTAGAACAAGATGTCGTTGTTTCCCAAAATTTTGAAAGTGTTTACAGAAACGAAAAGCTTGAACGTCTTGGTGCAGGTTTTCATAAAGGAACTGAACCGGGCCGAGAGGCTTCTGGACCCACGGCTGGCGCCGCTCTCACCTGCAGCACGCAGTAGTTCCCGTTTTTCTTTTTGGAAAGGATTTTGAGCGCCGCCTCCTCGTAACCAGGAGCGATGATCCCGTCTGACACCTGGGAGGAACCAGATGCGGTCAAAGAGAGATTAAACGGTCTTATTTTCAAAATAAAAGCTCTATTTACCTCCCTGGATATGATCCTGGCCGTAGGGACGTCGCACACGTCCGACAGAGCGATGAAATCCCCGAAAGATGACATTCTGTCCGAACCTGAAGACGCAGAAAGCGTTTTTAACGACAGCCAAACAGTTTGAGACTTTACGGAGTCACGTTTGACCTCTTGCTCGTGCGTAAGCCGTGGCGAGCGGGGTGAGGTCCTCCAGCAGGTCGAGCACCATGCAGACTTTGGCTTCCTCCTCGGTCAGAGGAACTCCAACTGCAGCTCCTTCAGAGGAGGAGAGAAGACGTTCAGACCCGTCCTCCGATCGAGGAGCGCGTCTTCGTCCTTACCTGCAGGGCTGACGTGTTTGAAGGACGCGGCGGCCGCCATGCCGAGGGCGCCTCTGAGCTCCCTGACCAGCTGCCAGGCGTTCAGCGCGTCGCACAGGTTGATGAAGCCGGGAGCGCCGTTCACCACTGACAGAGACAGAAAACACGCCGTCAACCGCAGTCAGCTACTTCTGCTGCTATTTGTCAAAACCTTTGGCTCATTCAGCTGATTTTAGCCATAGAAACATGGAGATCTCTTCAATTCCTTCAAAACGTTATTTTAAAAATCTGATTTTAGCTGCTGACCATCTTTGTTCTCTTACACTACTTTAGCCTTTTTATACCTTTGGGTCATCTTCTGCTGATTTAAAAACTAGTTTAGCTATTATTAGCTTCTACATTATTTTGATACTTTTAGCTTTGAACGAAATTTCTGCTACTATTTGCAAGACTTTTGTTACTTTGACTTTTGCCAAAGCTTTTTGCTACTTTGGGCAATCCTTTTGTTACTTTTAGCTCAAACATTTTGCCAAAGCATTCCTTCTTTCAGCCAAAACTTTTACTACGTTTATCCCAACTTTACAAAACATTTTGTTACGTTAACTTGACTTTTTGCTACTTTTAGCCAAGCATTAGCTACTTTTATCCTAACTTTAGCTACCTTTATCCAAACTTAGACAATATTTTATACATAAACGTGACCTTTTGCTACTTTTAGCTGAACGTTGGCTACTTTTATCCAAAATATTTATAGCAACTTTAGCTACTTTTAGCCAAATTTAAGCAATGTTTTATACATTAACTTGACCTTTTGCCATTTTTAGCCAAAGCGTTGCTATTTTTAGCCAAACTTTAGCAATAAATAGCCAAATTTAGCTATTTTAGCCAAATTTAAGCAATATTTTGGACATTAACTCGACCTTTTGCCACTTTCAGTCAAACTTTGCTACTTTTAGCCGAAGTTTGATACTTTTAGCCAAACCTAAGCTATTTATAGCTAACTTTAGGCACTGTTAGCCAAATTTAAGCAATGCTTTGTACATTAGCTTAACATTTTGCTACATTTAGCCAAAGCTTTGCTACTTTTAGCTGAATGTTTGCTACTTTTAGCCAAACTTTAGCTATTTATAGCCAACTTTAGCTACTTTTAGCCAACTTTCAGCAATGTTTTATGTTAACTTGACCTTTTGCTACTTTTAGCCAAGCGTTTGCTATAAATTTTTGTTTTAGCTAACTAACATTTTGCTACTTTTAACTTGCCTTTTGCTTGTTCCAGCTTCTGCTTCTTTAAGCCATAGCTTCTCAGCTTGTTAATTTATTAGTCCTTCAGCTCTTATTTAATTAATAATCTTATCAGAAAATGTATTTTCTGTAGTGATTTTACTATCAGTCGTGTTACCGGACAGGATCAAGCTTTATTTGACATCTAAAACTAAGATACTTCTTTTAAGCCCGGATTAAACCATTTTAATACTTAATGCCAAACTATAAAACGTAAAAATGATGAAAACTAAATTAGACATTAGAGAAAATGGAACCGTATACATTCATACAACAACGTTGGACAGAAGAGTGGGCTAGAATTCCTCCACAACCATGTGACACACTGCAGCTGCAGGAGGCTCTACAAGCTGCTGGACCAGGACCTGGAACCAGGTTTTAGTTTTAGTTTAATTAATAACGACTTGGTGGAACCGTTTGTGTGTTTTTGTTCTGTTGAGGTCAGATTTGGATCATGTTAGAACCCAGTAAAAACCAGATCAGGTTTATTTAGTGCTAGAACCCAAGAACTGACGAGTGGACTTCCTTCACATCGAGACCGTCTGTGGTCAGAAGATTCTGTTCAGTTTCTACACCTTTCAGAGGAAGCTCGGGGCGCAGGGTGTAGATCTGGGCAGGGGCCTGGTGGGGGTTCATGCCGTAACGGAGGGGCAGCTGGGAAACTCCACGGCTGTACTGTCCACGGAAAAAATCTGATATGGCCTCGTCGTACTGCGCCGTGTGTGTGAAGGCCTGAAACAAAATGAAAACGTGTTGAATCTCTGATTAATCACCCAAAATAAAAACAAGTTGACCTAAAAAATATAAAATACAGCAAATATTTTATAAAGGTAGGCTTTAAAATCCAAATAAAAGAACGCAATGGAGTTTTTAAAAACAACTTTTAGACCCGACAGTCGGGTCAGGTCAAAGTTCAAAAGAACTCAAATGTTGCACCTCTGACATTTTTCAACATTTGTGATAAAAACTTTAGTCTGAACTTTGTTCACAAACAAAACGACCACCACCACCACGAAACAGTTTAAACCCAAACCAAAACGATGAAGACCGTCAAAGATCTAAACTGCAGGACAGTCAGGTGAGAACAGGGAAAAGGTGGAAGAGAACTTGGAGAGGTGGAGGTATGCACCTGAAAGAAGAGGAATGAAAGTCAGCCGTAGTAAGACAGAGTACATGTGTGTGAATGAGAGGGAGGCTGGTGGAACAGAGAGGCTACAAGGAGCAGAGGTCACAAAGGTGCAGGACTTCAAGTACTTGGGGTCCATTGTCCAGGAAAATGGGGAGTGTGGTAAAGAGGTGAAGAAGAGTCCAGGCTGGATGGAGTGGATGGAGAAAAGTTTCAGGAGTGATTTGTGACAAAAGGGTGTCAGCAAAGGTCAAAGGAAAAGTTTACAAGACAGTGGTGAGACCAGCTATGTTGTCTGGTCTGAAGACAGAGACATGGACAAAAAGACAGGAGAAAGAACTGGAAGTGGCAGAAATACAGATGTTGAGGTTCTTCTTAGGAGTGACAAGGATGGAGAAGATTAGGAATGAGATCATCAGAGGTACAGCACAGGTTGAACAACTGGGAGATAAAGTTAGAGAGGCCAGACTGAGATGGTTTGGACATGTCCAGAGGAGGGACAGTGGTTTGGACATGTCCAGAGGAGGGACAGTGGTTTGGGCATGTCCAGAGGAGGGACAGTGGTTTGGGCATGTCTAGAGGAGGGACAGTGGGTATATTGGTAGAAGGATGTTAGAAATGCAGCTGCCAGGAACAAAACACAGAGAAGATATCTGGATGCAGTTAGAGAGGACATGGAGGTAGTTGGAGTGAAGACCGAGTGAGATGGAGGATGACTCGCTGTGGAGACCCCGAGGAGGGAAAAGCCAAAAGAAGAAGTACAACATGAATAAAGACTCACTTTTAGAGCCAAAGTCCGTCGTGTCTCCAGGGTCGTGTCTTTGTCTCCTGAGGTCTCCATCTCCTCGGCGACCCGTGAATAATCATCCGGATCGCAGACGATCGTGACCCGAGCGTGGTTCTTTGCTGCAGCTCTCAGCAGAGTCACACCACCTAAAAACATCCACGAGACTACTTTCATGAGCAACGAGCAAAACTCCAGTGTAGTTGGTGCCTGAATGCATCATTTAACTATTATGGCTTTAAATACACGTCCTTCAGTCGAAAACGTTTTAAAGCTAAATTATCAGGTAGAATTACCGATATCGATCTGCTCCACAGCGTCCTCCACCGTAACTCCTGGGTTGGAGATGGTCTTTACAAATGGGTACAAGTTGCACACAACCACACTTAAAGAGAGAAGAACCACAAACTTTAAAAGATTACACGCCCTCTACAAAGAAACCGACACTTTAAATTTAACACAGTTCAACAGTCACGTGTGTGAACGTGAGTCTTAAGAGCGCCACAGTTTAAAGGACAGCAGGTCGGTTCCGTTTGTGTTCATGGTCAACTTTGACAAGTAGCAAGGTTAAAACCGCTGCCAGTGGATCACGGTGGTCACCATGGTAACCACACAGGCGCCTGTCACTCCCTGACTGGTTGTTTGAGAGAAGCAGAAACAAAATGAGCTTCCAACAAACGCTGAGTGAAAACCTGAGTTGTGTCTGCGGCAGAAGTCTCTGATGGTCACACAGGTGAGTTTTTATGGGCCTATGGCAGGGCTTAATTTGTAAACTGATTGATGCCGGAACAGCAGGCGGGTTGGGGTGGGGGTTGTGGGGTCTGTGGGTCCTCCCACAGAAATTTTTGAATAACAGAGACACCATTTCCTGCATTCTGGTGTATTTTAACGGGTCCTACATTTGTAAACACTTGATTAAATTACTATTCTGGAGAGCAACAGCAGGTTGTGTATGAACAGAGCAGCTCAGATTGTGTCAGGTGTCCTAACCCCCTCCCTTCACTTCACGGTTCTGAGCTGAACTCCGCTGAATTCAGTCCTGCTCCAATCTCGAAGTGGCACCTTTTGAAGCACCTAAAGGCTTCACTTCTCTGTTGTCGGACAATCCAGGCATCCATTTATTTTATGAAAGTAAACTGGTCTGTCTTCAACATTTTGATCACTGTTATTTTGACAAATTAGCGCCGTTGTTTTGAAACGTGACGTAATGTGAATAACACATCAAACATTTCTCTCGTTGTATTTTTAATTTATTTTTTACAGTAAGCTTATTTTATTTATTATATCTGAAATGTATGAAGGAGTTCAGACACATCAGCAGTTGTGCGCTCGCTGTGTAGAGTTGTCTGGAGACGTTCATGTGCGTAATGTGCACTGTCCGCAAGACGTGCCGCTGAATGTGTTGGAGACACTTAAGTCCTCGCGGGACATGCCGTCCACGTCTCAGACACTGAAGCTTTTCACCCATGAACATGAAATAAATATTCTTCTGTTGAATAAATGATTGGTTCTGTTGTTGAACGGATCAATTCAGCAGCTTCATGTGAGCTGGAACCCCCCCACCCCCCCACTCCTTAAGTGATCGGGGGGTCTAAAAGAAGGGGTGTTTTTCAGTGCACAGCGCCGCTGAGGAGGGACAATGTTTGGAGAGGAGGAAAGAAGGACTCAGCGCAGCACCTCCGTCCGTAAATGTGACCATTCTCACGTCCTCACCCCCCACCTCCCCTCCTGAGCAGGAGTGTGTGAGCTCGCTGGGAGTTAAAGTCACGTGATTCAAAATTCAAGTTGCAAATTAGGGGTGTAACAATACATCAATTTAAGTTGATATATCAATAACATTGTGGCAAAACTAAAACATTGATTCATATCGTCATCTTTAAAATACGCTTTATTTTGAATTTCCCAAGGCACGACTGTGTCACCATTTCCGTGCGCGGCTGCGCTCTGCGGCCGCCTCAGCAACATGACAGACGAGACAGAAAGCACAGATAATGAAATTCACTCTCCTGCTGGATTTAAATCAACACTGTGGAAATATTTTTGATTCCAACAGGACGGATCAACAGACAAAACTCATGCCGTATGCAACAGGTGCCGGTGCGAGTTAAAATACACGGGGAACAACACATTTGTCCGTTCACCTGAAGAAGAAACACGGCATTGATAGCCATGTTATGTAAGCTCAATATCTATTTTTGTTTATTTATAACTGCAAGGTAATCAGAGCACTTTTAAGTTAACTGGTTTAAAAAATGCACTTAAACATGAGAAATGTGAGACTATACTGAACAGGTCATTCATTTTTATTTTTTCAATAATTAAGACAAAATGTTTTTTATTTAAATGCCTGGTGCATGTAGTAATAGAAATAAAATGGTTAAATCATATTTGAATTGTTTCTGTAAATGTATTTATATGTAAATGAGGATAATAAATAAAATATGCATTTGATATCGCAATATATCGATCGCAGACTTGTGAATTGAATCGAAATCGTATCGTGACAGACTTTGTGATATCGGGAAAAATCGTATATTCATACAAATAAATCAATATAATATCGTATCGTGGTAAAGCTGATGATTTACACCCCTATTGCAAATGGTATATATTAAAGTGCAGTGAAAATGTGTATTTTTAAAAAGGTGTGGAAGTTAAAAGTAATTTATTAAATGTGATACTGTGTATTTACGCCATATTATTTTACATTATTAGTGTTTAGAGTATATCTTAGATCTTTTAGATTACTGTTTAGCGTTCATTTAGTGTATATATCAGTGTATACCTTAGATCCTTATATACTGTTTCTTTTTGCACTTTATATTTTTGCTATTGTTGGGTGTAACTGGGACCTTGTGTACATAATTTTGTTCCACCTCATTTACCACATGTAATGAGAACAATAAATTTGACTTGAACTTAAGGGAGCTTAGAGCTACCAAAGTGTATATAAAATACGTTCAATTGAATTTGGGTGTCATGTGAGTATGTTACACTGAGTTTCATGGGTAAATTTTAGTTGCTTTAAAAGGATTTAATTTGGGGGTTATGTTAATATATCTTGGGTTACATTTTCTTGTTTGTATTCTTAGGTGTTTCACCTGTTTTGGCCTTGACAACTTTCAAAATAAGAGAGAAAAGAAAGAATTGATTCTTGGTCACTGAGTGCAGTCCGGTCCAAAGTCTTCTGAAGCGAGCCCTTTCAAGTGGGAGGAAACTGCAGATTAAAACCCAAAAAGTGAAAACCACTTGACACCAGCCATCTAAAGAAACTATACTTTTTTAATACTAGAAAGCATTGTTTCCTCGAACGATAGTAGTCCGTTTACATTTTTGTATGGTGGTGGCCTCTCTCGGATTTTGACATGGCAACCCAAGGAATCTTTCTAACATCTAGATGTAGCCACACACCAAAACAATGCCGTACCTCACTTATTTTTCAAGCTATGCTCGCAACATGCACGGACTGACGATATTTCCAATTTCCCCTCTTCACTGCATGATGGGGAACAATAAAACATGTCCGGAGCAAAACCTGCTGTAACTTTGATTATCAACTAGTGGCCCATGGGCCACTTTTGGAGTGTTGGAGTGGGGCTTTTCTGGCAAGTGGGGGTGACATTAAAACTAAAAATATTAAAACTAAAAATCTATACCAAAATGAATTTTAACATTTATTTATATTTTTACATTTTAGGACAAAAGAAAATATATTCATGTAAAGAAGTTTTTTTTTTGTTTTTTTTTGGCAGATTTTAATTAAAACTGAACTCTGCAGGCCTGTGCGAGTCCTTTTAAACATTTAAATAAGTATCTTACTTTGAAATAATAAAGCATAAATTTGAAGTGTGAATAAAAACGAGGCCATTTTAGGGGATTTATTGTGACTTAATACATTTTTTGTAATTAAAAACAAATAGTTTTGTTTACTTTGACTTAAATTGTTTTATTTTTCTAATTATTTTTAATCAAATTAGCTCACCGTATTTCTTCCAAACAACTTGTTTAACAACATTATTTCAAAGAATTTCTGGTGGATATGAGGGAAAGATCGAACTGTGAGGATGGAAGTTGAATAAAGTACGGTAGATAAATCTAATCATGCTTTGCTATTTTAGAAAAGTCTTTTCTGGTGTGGGTATAAGAAATATAAAAAAATAATAATCATGTTAAATTTGGTCAAAGCTTCAAGGAGCCAGATGTGGGCCCAGAGCTGCAGGTTGCAACCCCCTGGCCTAAATGTTATTTGTCTTAAAGTAGCATTAGAGCCTTCTCCATGTTCTTTAATTCTGTCTGCACCTTTAAATATTTCATTTTAAAATCCATATTTTACCAGAGTTAAACTGACGATATCTTGGCTGAATATGCTGTTTGAAAAGTTCCTCTTATTGAATAAATTAGCAGAGTTTCATATCATGATTATACTTTAGCATATACCTTTAAATGTTTTAAAGAAGTATAATGACCTATGTTTTAATAGACTGCACGTTTAGTAATCAGCTCAGACGAGCCACGCTGTTCCGTGTTTGATGCATTATTGAAAACTCAGAAGAAACTGTGATCTAATCACATTCTTCTTGTCGAAAGCAAACAAGAGTCACAAGACGATCATCAGTTTTCCAATTATCAAAAACGAACATGTGACAACAGAAACAAGCTGAAAACCACCAGTTGGACAAGAGTTTAGATGGTCTTCTCTTTGTGGGATTTTAGTTTTCTGCTTCGAACACAGAGCTGTTTGAATGTAGGAGCATTTAAAAGTTTGTCTCCCTCTTACCGGACCAGGCTGTAGCCCAGTTTCTCCATGTCTGCTGTGTCAGAGGGGGTCTTTCTGGCCAGGATGCCTCCGTGGACAGCAGGATGCAGGGTCTTCACTCTGCCCCCCAACATCTCTGGATGTCCAGTCAGCTCAGACACATCCCTGACACACAGCAAAGACACAGACAGGTTAGAGAGGACACCCAGCCCACTGGGACTGGAGGAGGACAGGGCCCACCTGACTGCCAGTCCAGCATCACGCAGAGCCTTGGCTGTCCCTCCTGAAGCCACCAGAGACAGACCCACACCCACCAGCCTTTTGGCAACATCCACCAGTCCAGTCTTGTCTGAGACACTCAGAAGTGCTGTAACAAACACAAAACGAACGGAGAGCCATTTAATTCACTTCAAACTCAAAGAAGAGTTTAAAACGTGTGATCTAGTTCTAAAAGCTGCCCAGGCTAGGCTAACGTTAGCCTCAGAGCTAACACTGAATAAAGTTTAGAATAATGAGTTTTAGTAAAACTTAACTTACCGAGCTCCGCGGAGGCCATGTTCTCAGCTTCAGTGAGGGTTTAACTGGAGGTCAGCTGACCTTTTCCGGGGAAAATATTGTGACTTTTGAAAAAAAAAAAAAAAAAAATCAGAGAGAACGCGACAAAAACAAGAAATCTACGAGCTCTTCCAGAGTTTTAACATCAGCGCGTGCTTCACTCAAGTAAAAAGGTGCCCCGCCCCTAAACTATCAAGCGCATGCGCAGAGCCACAAATCAAGACCAGAAAGCCACATTAACATTTAATAACAGCGCATATGATTCTGATAGCATAGCATAACAATAACATATAAGTAAATAAAATATACTAAATAACGAATGAACACAGACTGAGCAGTTTATTTCCCACTGCCTTGACTGCCAGGTTCTTATTCAAATGATGTAAGTAGAATTGCCTTTATATTTTTAGATAATTAAAGATGTATATTTGTATGTATGTACGTATATAGTCTTTTATTTCACCCCATATAGTAAAAACACAGGTTGGAATGTCTTAAAGGTCGTCTGACATATTTTGGAACAGTTTCTTGATATAAAATGAATGTTAATGTCAAGGAACTGGCTGGTGAATTAAAAGTAAAAATAAACCTGATAAAAGGCCAAAATTAAAACCTTTTCCCAACTAAGGGCCAGTTTCTACATTAACTCAAGTCCGATACCCAACATCTTTTCTTGGTTGCAGGTTCCTCAACAAGAGTTTGATTTGTCTCTGATGTTCTGTGTTGCACTTTCGACATCATAATCAAAGATTACTGGAAAAAATTCAAATGATAAAAGTACTTTTTGTTTAACATATCATCTTGGGGGCCAGATAAGATGTCAACAAGGGCCACATTTGGCCCCCGGGCCTGGAGTTTAACGCGTGTGATTTAGAGGCTTCATAAAAATAAAAGAGCTACACACACAGTAGCTCCTATTTAAAGACACCGTTTCAGTTTAAAACTTTGTTTAGCTTTTGCTTATTTGCTTTGATCTTTGAAAGCTATAATAAAAACAGATTTAAAGTCACATTACCTTGAAGATCACAAGTGGATCATAATAAATACAGAACATAATTTCTGGTGTCTTCTTTAAATTTGACACCAGAGGGCAGAGTAGATCTGATACTGATCATTTTTCAGACATAACTGACAAAAACATAAACATAAATGTTTACATTATTGCATTTTATTCATATTTCAGTGGAAGCTTCTTGGAAAACTTTAATTGTAATTTATTCAATATCAGTTTGCACTCAAACCTGAAATGGTAAGTCGTGATTTCCTGGCCTGTTTGTGTTTTGCAGGAATGCATATCGCCCGCCACCTTTTGTTATGTTGAGAGGAGCTGTAGTTGTTTTAGTCAAACCTTGAGATAAAAGTGTTTCAAGTCATGACATTTATGAAAAATGCCACGCTCAACGTACATGTTGGAGATGACTCTCAGCTACTACCCAATCAAATTTTAGTTCAATATCTGTAAAATGTACGTTTTAGCCACATTTCTCTTCGTTAATGTCAATTAGCTGTGATGCCATTTTGATTTAGGTTGACTCCAAAAGTAAATCAGTTGTAGTCCTTCATCCAGGGTCAAGTTCTGAGAGTTTCTTTTAAATCAAATCAGTGGTTCTTTAGATATTTTGCTAACAGTCAAACTGGGCTAATTCCCAACAGTGAATGCAAAAGTTTGGTGTAAAGTTGTTGCACAATGAATCACAATTAATGTGTTGAGGATGACTCTCAGCTACTACCAAACCAAGTTTTAGCTCAATGTGTGTAAAATTTGCTGAGTTTTATTTATTTATTTATTAACATTTTCTAATGTATCAAAAATAATCCAGGTACAAATCCAACAAAGTTCAGCAGGTCATCTGGACAGTTTCTTTTTTTTGTTGTTGAGACGTTTCGTCCTTCATCCAAAGGACTTCATCAGTCCAAGGAGCCACAAATATATGGAGGATGGAATGTGACAAAATGAAATAAATACATAACAATTAAATTTATCATTTAATTATTAAATACATCATTAAATCATTAAATATTCAATTAGATTATTAAATACACCATTAAATAATGAAATATACCTTTTTAAATTATTTATTTCATGATTGATTTATTTAATTTTGTCACCTTTCGCCCTCCAGTGTCACCATGAAATTATGTTAACTGTCAGCCTCGCTCGTCAAACTCAGTGGGCGGGACTAACCCTAACCCTGACGCCTGATTGGCTGCGCCTCACAGCAAGCGAAGACAAATCAATCACAGATAATCGATAGGCCCGAAAATATATTCCGAAAAAACTTTAGGAAGCTTAGTTGTGTTTACGTGGAATTGGCTGAAACCTTTTTTCATCAGACCGAAGCAATGGATTTCACATGCTCCGCGTTAGTCCCGCCCACTGAGTTTGACGAGTGAGACTGACAGTTAACATAATTTCATGGTGACACACGAGGGTGGAATGTGACAAAATTAAATAATTGAATAAACCATTAAATAATACAATTGTGTGTTTAATAATTTTATTGTTTATTTAATAATTAAATGATACTTTTTTTATTGTGTATTTATTTCATTTTGTCACCTTCCGTCCTCCATAGCGGCAGTCATCTTTTATCAGGTTGGTTCTAAATGTTAATCAGTTGCAGATGTAAATCCAGTGATTACTGAAAATGTAATCAAAATTTGCCCAGTGTTTATTAACATATTTTTCTAACAGACAAATCTTCGCCCTGTTACTGTCGGCAGTGCGTGACAATCAGAAACAAATATTGCAAAAAGACACCGACCAAAGCATTTCCTGTTTCCTCATGTTTCTGCCGCTGAACTGAAGGTCACTGAGGTGAATCTGGGCACTACTCTCACTATAATTGGTCAAACACCTGTAGCGACTCGTGAACACGTTCACCTCCAACACGCCTTTTCATTAAACTTTACTGGCCCAAACTGCCACATTTCTCCTGCTTTGGAACGGCGTCCGAACGCGAGGACATATGTGGATTTATGGGGCCCCATTAGTTAAGTGACAGGCCCCGGGGGCCCCGGAAAGCTGCAGCGATATTACGCTAAAAGACGACACAATCTGTTCATATTTACGTAACGAGCTCCGTGTTTTCTGATTGATTAAACTACAGGGTGTAAATTCTTTAAAGGGGGCCCTGATTTATAATCCAACAAAGCAAAAAAAAAAAAAGAGGCCAATTTCTTTGTGTAACTATGAAAACGGAGGATTTCCGGTAAACATTCAGACAGCCGAGGGACGACTTGAGTGATTCAAGAGACGGAGGAACGTTTTTACGGCGAGACACGAGCTCGATGTGCATTATGGGTTGGAAAAACGAGGGAAATAAGTGGCCCGTCAGCACTTTTGTTCAGAAATCTGACAGCGTTATCAGCAATAACTCCCGGGGAGAAGTTTTAATCAACACGGCTGCTGTATTCAGATTAAATTAGAGGAATCAATGACCTCGACGTGTCGTCGTCAATCAGTCGTGAGGTTTGTCCCGCGTCAAACCGCGGGCCCTTCGTCACACCAGATGACAAGGCACACGGCTAAACGAGCTCCTATTGATTTTTCATCAGGCAGATTAAAAACTGGGGTTCTTATTCTGTCCACTGTGAGTCAAACAAATGAGGGAATGCACGTCGCCCGCCACGTCGCATACCCAAGTTTTAAAACATGCGATCAGTTAATGTTCAGAGGACATGTTGGGGTTGACTCTCGGCTACTACCACAACAGATTTTAGCTCAGTATCTGTAAAATTTACAGAGTTTTAGCCACTTTTCTGTTTTCTCCGTCGGATTACCTGTGGTGAACTATTCACTCAGTGAATAGCATTTACAGTATGTTTTACAGATGACTGTCAGCTACTACCTCACCAAATTTCAGCTCAATATAAAACTGAGTTATAGTAATTTTTGTGTTCGCTGAAGTCAATTAGCTGTGGCAGCCATCTTGAATCAGGTTGATTCCAACTCATAATAAGTTGTGAATTTTTATCCAGTTATTTCTGTATGAAAGTTTCATTAAAATCCATCCAGTGGTTTATCAGATATTTTGCTAATAGACAAGACACACCCACTGGTGATTACATGATCACTTGCCTTTTTCATTTAAATAAAAAATAAATAAATAAACACTTTAAGAGACAGAATTTTTGGACCAAGCTCTGCTGAAGAATACAGTATATTACTAATTGTTATAAACGCATGCAAAATAATTACCTGTTTTATATTTAATAGTCTTTTTTTAATTCTGTTTTCTTTATCCATCCATCCATCCATCCATCCGTCCATCATCTTTACCCTCTTCTTCCTTTTTGGGTCACAGGGGTCACTGGTGTCCATGTCCAGCAGTCACTGTGCGAGAGGCAGGGGACACCTGGACAGGTCTCCAGTCCATCACAGGGACACACAGAGACAAATGAGACAAACATCCATTCACTCTTTCACACCTAGGGACAATTTAGAGTCACCAATCAGCCTAACATGCATGTTTTTGGTTTGTGGGAGGAAACAAGAGAAAATCCACGCATGCACGGAGAGAACATACAAACTCCACCCAGAAAGGCCCACGGACCGGGATTTGAACCAGGGTAACCTGCTCACTGAGAGGCGGCAGCTCTACCAACTGCTCCACCGTTTTCTTTATATTATTACATTTATTATGTTATTACATTTATTATGTTGCCTTTCTTACAGACTCCGGAGACGTAGTTGCTCAACATGATCTCGATTGGCAGAATGTTTGTGTGTACCTGGTTTATCCCCTTTGGGACCTTGTCTGGTCCTGATCACCTGCCCTGTCAGGACCATTAATCCTGTTGGGGACCTTTTCATTATGTTTTTATCTCAGAGTTTTGGTTTGGGTCAGGTAACGTATTGAGCTGGGAGAGCATGTAATCACAGTATAAATGTGAAAAGGGATTACATATTTTTATCACAGGAAGGAGCTCGAGGAAACCACAAACAACTCCTCCACAAATACATTTTGGTCCAGGACCAGAATCTTGATGTTTGTTTTTTGTGTTCACCACATGTCAAACAAAGGCCAGTTATGACCCTAGGTAACATCTTATCTTGCCACAAAGACGATATTTTAATAGTAATTTTTTTAAAAATCTTATTTTACTTAAAAACAGAGCATACTTTATTTAGTGCAGACTTCACTGCAAAGTCCTGGCCTGGAGATGATCTTAAGAT